AGGTGTCATTTTGGTAGAGAAAAGACCAAGCTCTGGTCACCATTTCGTGGTCTTGTGTAATGTGATTTCTTGGGACTGATTTGAGAGCTCCAAGAGCACTTTGTTCTGCTGTTTTGAGACCCCATAGGTATACTATTATCATTCCTCTTGAAATCCATGATTTTAGCTTGTTTAAGTCACTAAAAGAGGGAACTTTGATTAATCAAGTTAAGAGTTTTTAGTCTATGCATGTTTAGTGTTTTTGAACATCTGTTTTTTAGAAAAACCGGACCTTGAACCTTGGGGAAGCATTTGGGTCGCGGATTATGCAGAAAAATTCTGCAGAATTCTATTCTGTTCGCGTGGGAATCGATTCCCTCTTGTTGGGAATCGATTACCAAGTGCAGGAATCGATTCCCAAGGTTTGGTAATCGATTCCTACTTGTCAGAATGAACAAAAACCAGTTTTTATTGCGTGAGAAAGTCCCCATTTGGGCATGAGGCCCTAGGAAGTCAGGGTTTCTGTTGGGAAATATTAATACCTTTAATTGTGGGGCTTAATGCTTAATAATTATGAATTAGAAAGGATGAAAACGAAAGAGAAGACCTTGTTTAATGGTTATGAAATTAAGATTTCTGAATATTAAATTGTGTATTCATAACGAACAGATTGCAATTGACTTGTGATGAGACTGTTGGGTTTCCTGTTTTTATGAGCCTTTGGACAGAGATTTTGGCACTATAGGTAAGATTTCGTGTCCTCGGTTTTGCCCATTGTTAGTTCCACCATACCTCACAGAGGGATGGTTTATATGCATGTTGTGTTTTTGTGAAAATATGAAATGATTATTGATATGCTATTGAGCTGTGATATTGATTGCAAGTGCCATATGATATGTATGTGGTGTTCCACCTAGATGGTAAGCCTGAGTATGTGGCGACATACAAGATGGTGATTCTGTGGGTGAGGTACAAGCGGGGTCCTTGTACTGTAGGTTATAGACGTATGTAATCCCTATATTTTGTTCTCTGGCTAGTAGGATATTGACACACATGACATGGATATATGCTGCATTGTACAGATTTTGGAACTTATACTGTTTTACTATTTTAGAACTTATATTGCACATGTAAGTGAGCTTGAGGTGGAGAGATCCTTGAGGACCCCTTGTCTTGCTGAGATTTCTTTTTAGAGATCTCACCCCGTGTTGTGGCACATTTTCAGGTTCAGGTACCTCGGGGGTTGATACCTCTAGCGGCAGGAGGCCGGAGTTGAGTTGAGATGCATTCTGTTATTTGATATGCTTGGATATCGACCATGTTTTACTTTCATTATCATGTTATTTGAGTTGAGACATTGTTGGGCTTTGTTGCCTTATTTGGTGAGCATGAGGGTTGTCCCTGCCACATTGACTATGCTATGTTTATTTAGTTTTGAGCTGTATAATTGTATCAAGATATTGTCCGGTCTACGTGTTGTAGTTCTGTGACTAGATACACATTTATATCATGAGATTATTCAGTTAGTTGTCTATTGAAATTTAGATACAGGCAATATTTTGAAAAAGGAATAAGTAATCAATTTGGTTAATAATGATGACGTCATAATTGAAAAGAAAAAGTTAGCTTCCGCATTTAATTGAGCTGCGCTTAATACTGTAATATGATAATAATATGGGTATACACTAGGTGTTACAGCAAGCACACACGTCTAAGTAATAAATGGAATATTAAGTCTCAATTTATTGTCCTACAGAGAACGTATTGTTATATTGAATGCCCAAACTATAAAAAATGAACCTAACAACAATTAAGAATGTTCAAAAACTAGAATTGAATCATCTAAAATTTCTCATTCCTAACTATCATAGTAGCGTTCCCATTATGACAAAAAGTTCGAACCACTCTCTTTCATTCATCACATCGTTATATATTTCAATCATTCCTTCAAGGGGAGGAACAACAATTCACATGAACAAAATATTGTGCGAAAATGGTATTGTGCAGTGAATTTAAAATTGTAGAAACGAAAATGGATCTTATATTCAAAACCCTATAATGTTAACAGAACAATAACATATAACAATAAAATGAGGAAAGTCAATAAAATAAAATAAAATAGGAACAAATTCACTGCTACATTAACAATCAACTGTAACAATGATTCAGTACCTCATTCAATGAAATTGTTCAGGTGACTTTTCATTGCCAACTCTGATTCCTCAAGCTCTTAGGCTATTTGGTATACGAAATCTTGTGTTCCCTTGCGATTTCATTCCCAATTGTACTGCATCGAACCTTTGTAGGAACTTAGTGGTTTCTTATTCCTAAGGCAACCAATGAAAGTGTTTTCACACATTCACCTTCCAACTGATATTTTGCAGTCTATAATCCCTTCCCTTCGAAAGTTTCTTTCTCCGATTATTTCAAACACAAATTCAGAAAACACCAGAATTTCATTGAAATCAGAAACAAAGCTTCAATTACAATAAGTGTTAATTACATAGATCATCCATTCCTGAGGAAAGTTAGCTCATCATGTCTGCAGACTTGTTCGAAAATACAAAAGAAGATCCTTCGACTTGAGATCCTATTGCAGACAACTTGGAATTCAATATGAACAAAAACAAAAGAAGAAGATAACAGGGAATTATATATTAAAAATGAAGAGCTGCAAAATGCAGAAAACTAATGGAAGCAGCAGAAATCAATGGTTTATGATAAAATCCTCGCACTCCAATTAAAATAAAGAAAAGAAATAGTTAATGATATAATCAACCAACAAATTATAACTTCATTATTCAATTACTAAGATTGGTCCAGTCTTAATAATTAAGAATTCCGAATTGAAAATAAAAATATTTACCGAACTATCCGAATTACTTTGAATGCAAAACAAATGATGAAGAGAACGATGATGTTCGTAGGGGAAAGGGTCAACTGGAAAAAGCTTCCTGTGGACTTTTCTCCCTTTCCTTTTATAATGATGAGAGTGAGTGGTTCTTTGGTAAATTATCTTGCCTTTTTCTTCAACGTTTGGTCAAGGCGTCTCTTCTCTTTCTTTCGTCGTGTGATTCTTGCTTGACCAATTGTCCTTTTCCTTTTTTTCTCTCTCCTTGTAACAACTTGGTCATTTTCCAGACTATTCTCCATTTTTTCCTTGTTTGATTGTCATGATTGCTAAAGTAGTGGACACCTTTTTGGGGGAACATTTGATTCACCTTGCAAATTGCAAAAAATAAAAAAGTTAGTGGAATCGAAACATGATAAAGTACAACTCATTTTTTTCACTTTTTAACACTAATATTCCTTTTTGTCATGTTCTCTCTCTCATACTCGAAGCAATATATTTTTCTGCATTTCTATGATTTTTCTTTAAAAAGTGCAATTTGAGAACACCATTAAACAATGTTCCCTTGTGAGGGAACACCTGGGATGAGGCTAAAACGAAGTCCCATCAACTGCCATCAAGCTTACACCACGGAAGCTCGAGCATAACCTCACATTACGTCTAGACAACCATATCGAAATACTTAGCGAACTTTTCATTTTTTTTGGATACATTAGCGAACTCTTCATTGAATATGTTAATATCGGCAAAAGTTCTTATAAGTATTTAGAATTTTTTACTTTTATTTTTATTTTTTACGCTATATATAAATTTTCTTTTATGATAATTCCTGAACTTGAACTTTTACCTTTTATTATATAATTGAAGTGCAATATGCAAATTAGACACCCAAAAAAATATATTGATTTGTGGAAATCGTTGTTTTTAACTATTTCTTACACTTTAAAGGCTCGTTTGATGGACAAGATATGATATGTGGCTGATAAGGGTAAGATATGATATGAGGCTGATAAGCCTATATCATGTCATGTGTTTAATGAACACCGATTAGCAATCTGATAAGATTATGTAGAAGGAAAAAGAAAAAACAAAAAACAAAATATAATGCAATAAATACAAATATATTGGGTAGCGTGGGGATATATTGGGTATCCAATCTTGGGATCATATCCTATTGAATCCTAACCCAGCTCCTCCCATAGGATAAGAAATCATGTATTGGATATGATAAAATTAGACAATAGGATAAGTTAATCATATCCTATTGACCCACCAAACAAGAGATAAAAGTAAGATATGATAAATTATCCTATCCTATCTTCTTTATCAGGTGCTCCAAACATGTGCTAAAGTCTTGAACATCTTTGTATATTATAACTTTACTTACAACTAGTTAGCTAATTTTGTTTATATAACAAAGAAGTGTTTTAGGTTATCGATTATTTGATTAATCTGAACAACACGAAAACAACAAAATTTTTCTCATCAAATTTTTAAACACTATTATATACTCAAAGTCGATAGCACTATTAGGATGAAATAAATCCGTGCAAGTTGATACACGGACACCTACTTGATTATATGTTTTTTATTTTAACTATTATTTTCTTATCAAATAGATTATTTCATCTATTAATTTTCTGTTTATTTTTACCTATTTTTCTTCAATACTGTTAGATCAGAATTTTAATTAACATTTTTTTTTCTCTTTATATTCTGATCTATCGAGATTGAAGAATGATAAAAAAGATAGGCAGAAACAAATGGTAGATAGAATAATCTATCACTTTTTCCAATATTATTTTGTTTTTTTTTTTATAATTTTTTTTTGCATCTCGAGCGCTTTCTACCGTGAAGGCGCATCGAAATCGGATCTGGATCCTCTCATGTGAAAATTTATCATATCATGTGAGAAATCATAACCATACAAAGGTAAATCAATGGTAATGGTAAGTGGTAACAAAGGAGGATGGAGAAAAAATGTTGAAATAAGTAGTTATAAAATCATAACCGTTGATTTATCTTTGTATAATTGTGATATTCTCGAATGATCATGATCCATTTCCATCGAAATCCCATATTTGCCCTGTATTTAGCGTTCGGACATTTATATCAAAGGGGTATATAATGAACTTCAAACGCGAAACCTATCTCCCTCGACTTCGCGTTCTCTCATTTTCTCACTTCGAACAACAAGAAAGCCAGAAACTCACTCTCAACCCTCAGCTTCCGGCGGTTTATCGGCGAATTTCCGGCGACCCAGCGACAGCAACCACTTCCAGCGAAATTTTCTTCTTCCAGTAGAAAGGGTTGGCATGTTCTGCTTTCTTCAATTAATTTTTTTTTTTTTTTTTTGATAGTTTGCTTTCTTCAATTATTAATTGCTCTGAAATTATGCACTTATATTTATTGGTAGATATAGCCCTCTAAATCCAATGCTTATTAGATAATGATGGCACCTCTGAAAATGACCATTGGCACGTTCCTAATTTAAGAAAATAGATGCTCATTGAAGGTTTATTCTTGAGAGGCTAAGTCCTTATAGATTCTGTGATAGCAACCATCTACGCATACTTAGGTTACTCCAGCTACTCTAAAGCAGCTTTTAAATTTTAATGTTCAAGTACAGGGGACCAAGGAGTCGTAGGAAATGAAAGGCTATATGGAATTGTAATACTATGTTAGCTGCAATTCGGGGTATTTAGATGGAGCCTAATGCCAATATTTATTAAGAAATCTTTGCCTCTTATCTTGAATAGGGGGATTTAATTAATATCAAACAGATTTAATTATCTTGGTTGCGAGGTTGAAGCAGTGGTAAAGCTATGCTCCTTTGTGACTGAAATGTTATGGGTTTGAATTCAGGAAACAGTTTCTTTGCAAATATGCAAGGGTAAGACTGCGTACAAGGATTGTTCTCACCCCAACCTTTGTTAGTCGGGGTTTAATGTGGAGTGATTTTTGGATTTAATTATCCTATTTGAGGTTTAATCTCAAGTATGATTGTATAAATGCTCTACTTATGTTCCTTGAATCCTTGTTTGGATCGTCGGTGATAATAAATTTAATTATGAATGAATATTTTTATTTTTGAGCATTTATATGTGTAGTATGTCTCTGTAATAGGTTCATGCATACGACTTCGCTGTTGTGCTATACCGCTATAGTGTCGTTTGATTACTATGATCATTATGTATTGGCAACATTTATCAGAATGAAGATCTATAAAAGTTTTAGGCTTACCAGAGTTCGTATTAATGAAAGTGCATTGGCAACATTTATCAGAATGAAGCTCTATAAAACAGGGAAACAAGAAACCTGCATTTGTAATTAATATGTCTACCTGTTGCTTCAATGTAGCTAAACTTTTGGTATCCATTGGAGATTGTGGAGACTTCAATTGACTGGAAAATTCCAATTAGACCACACAATATAATCTGTCACATACTTAACATCAAATATGTCAAAACTAAGGTACAAATTCAATTTTTGGAATGTTCTTCAGGTAGTGTTCAATTAATAGATCACTAAGTCCAGTTAGTAATATCAAAAGCAACTCTTTCTTAACGAAATACATGAGAAATTGAGAATTACTAGATCCAATTTTCATTCCCCCTCCCTATATGGACACTGGGCCATTTTACTTGTTACTGCATACATTGTCAGCATCTTTTGTCAAGGTTTATTTTAAATGTATTTTTCCATGCTCTTACACCTCATCACAATATTTAATTATTTTGCTAACAATAGCCAAACTATTTGCTAGATTCTATTTGACAAGTCAATTTCTAGTATGTGCCTTAGTAACTTGGATTTTATATAAATATAATTGGTGTCGTAGTCACAGTACTGAACTTAATGAATGCAACTTATTTTCTTGCATAGTTCCTGTTAAGTAGATTTAGGTATGCAGTTACAGAATTTTTCTTTTTCCGCTAATTGATAAATGATGTCTATAGTCTAGATAGCATGTAGCAGTATGTTCCAATTATGTATTTGTCGGCTTCTATTATGCGACTAGCTTCTTGGATAATACAATATTTATTCCACGGGTATATTTTCAGATCACGACTTCTTGTTGAAATGATGTTAATACTTGTGCTGAATTGCAAATGTTCTACTTTATTGGGTTTGGATGTTTCTGTCTTGAGTCACTGCTGAGCATAAGTTATTCAGGTTTTCTTAATCTTAACACAGTAATAGTAACTTGGTATTCTCTTGACTCTATTTGTGCTTTCTTGTTTGACTGTTAAATTTTATATTTGCAGCAAGTATACATGTACTTGTGCTATTTCTTTATTTTATTTTTTGAAAAAAATCCTTTTTTTTAAAATATCTCTATTTTAGAAAAACTAGTGGGCTGACCTATAGGGTGACTAAGAATGGTCTATACTTTTGGCTTTATGGCCCTAACTCACGTGAGGTAGGGCTTGGTGGGGTGGACTGGACCATATTGACAGCCGTACATGCAAGTTTTCAAATTGAAGAGAAGATTTTGGTCAACTTAAATTTTTGCTGCCTCATAGCTATTTTTCTCCAGAATGGAGGGCTGCTGATAGCAACAAGTTCTGTGATTTTGCATTTCATTGTAATGGAACTGCAACAATAGATGCTGTTGTGGAAGGTCTCATTGATAAAACTTTGTTTTTATTTAATATTAGAGCTGGCGAATGAAGTTCTTGAAGCTTCTCATTGATTTTTGTTGTCTTGTTTATTAGTTCAAGAAGAAAGATGTTTAAATATATTTATAAATGTAATGACATGGTTCTAGCTCAAAGTATCTTTATTTGCAGTTTGCTCTTTCGATGAGTTGAAAGAAAGTGCAAGAGCCGCAAGCTGGAGGATTGGATGGCAAAGTACTATGACATTGATGATATTATCACGGAGGAAGAGGTAGTCTTCAGACTCTTAATTTGTTTCCAATTGATATATGTCAGATTCAATAAGGGATGCTAGTTTAGAGATATTTGATTTTTGTAAACAAGGGAAATGTTTTGCTACATTAGTTAGCCTTAAGATGCTATGTGGCTAGTTTATAACAGAATTGACTCATTGTGTAAACAATGAGGATATGGAATGCAACCTAATTTCTTATCCTAATACTACGATTTGTTATGTTATGATCACAGATTGTGTCAGTTATGTTTCAGAAGGCAGCATCTGGAGTGGGAATAGATCCCAGTTCTGAGACGGACTTTGTAAGAGTCGTTGACACAATTTATGTATTTCAAAAGGAAAGAATTGCTTGCAGTAGCACCAGAGGTGCTTGGTGGAACTTTATGATTTGACCTCACTTTAGAATGTTTGATTTTCAGATTGAAGCAGGCTCAAAAGTTGAACTGCCTTTTTGGCTTGCTCGTGAGTTACAGTTGAGACAAGCAGTATCAGTCAATGTTCCTTCTTGTTTCAATCAAAAGTAATAATCATTTTATGTTTTTTTGCAACTTATAAGCACATTCCATTATATAATATAGCATTTCATGACATTGAGGAAACACTTTTTAAGTAGACTTCTATTTTTGTTACCCCTAGAATGCTTTTGCAGACCTTTCTTGTTAACTCCTGTTTCTAGAGCTTTAACTGGATTTGGAGTCAAAGTCTTTTCTTTAACCTTATTTTTCAGATACATTTAAATTAATTTCTCTTAAGTGCATGGTGTTGTGGAAATATGGAAAGCAACCAATTATTCAATAATCAATTTGCATGGCTTTCATGGAAGTTCTAAAAACTAAAAAGTGGCATATGCATGCAAATCTGCATTGGCATTTGTTAGAATAGTTGTAAAAATAGTTCATTATATATATAGTCCCACATCGTATGAGCTCAACCTATTAGGTCTTTTAGTCTCTTTAAATAGAGAGCTCTTGTACATTGTAATACACTATGATTATTCAATATACAATTATTCTTTAATCTCAAGTTGGTATCATAGCTTTTTAGCTCTGGGGATCCGCTTCCGCTAAAACCCTAAGCCCACTGCTTAGGTGTTCTCTTCTACTTTGCCGTGCATTCTTCCGGCGAGTTTTTTCTCTAAGCCGTGTGTCTCTCCGGCTTGTTTCTTCAACTGTCAGAACCACTTCCCGCCGCCAACAACCACTGCTCGTCACTGTTCAGGCCACCGGAGCACTGTTTCGGCGAGGTTTTAGCCCAGACTACCTGCGATCAGGACCGTCTCATCCCGGCGACCAGTTCTGTGGTGGTCCGACCACCGTCGCGTCAGCCACGCGCCTCCACGCACCGTTCTTCTCCTCTGCGCGTGGTGCTCACGCGCCACCTTCAACCGGCGCGTGTGCACTGTTCCGGTGGAGTTTTCCGGCCGTTCTTGGACAGAACTTCTCGTCTTCTTCTCCTCTTTCCGGATCTGTGCTTGGTTCTTTGTGGGTCTCACTTTAGACGCGTGGTTCTCCTTGATTGGATATCGTTTGCCTTCGTTTACGGCTTTTATATTCTGTCTTTAAATGGCAGCAGCGTCCCCTGATCTCTCGGAGGTTAACTCTCCTTGTCCTCTTGTCAAAACTTCCTCAGGAATCATCTCTACTAATATTGGGCCCATTACATCTTCCAAACTGAAGGATTCTATCTCTCTTGCTGCGAATATAGCTCAGTCAGACAATGCATCATTTGGTTCTGTTTCTCTCTCACTTGCGGACTATGCTGCACTCCAAACTCTTCTCAAGAAGGCTTCTCCTCAGTCTCAACCATATACTGGTAATCCCGTTGCTTGTGTTTCTCATTCTACATCACTTGGCACTTGGATATTTGACTCAGGTGCTACCGATCATCTCTGTGGTAATACGGAACTCTTTACATCTCTTACTTATTCTGATCATTTACCTTCTTTTACCCTTGCGGATGGAACCAAAGCCCCAGTTCGTGGGATTGGACAAGCTCGTCCAACCTCTACCTTAGCCTTGACATCTGTTTATTACATTCCTGGCATCCCTTATAACTTAATTTCTATTAGTAAGTTGATCCACTCCCTCACTTGCACCATTACTTTCTCTAACCATTCTGTTTCTGTGCAGGATCCGGGTACGGGGAAAATGATTGGAGTGGGTCGTGAGTCACAGGGGCTTTACTATCTGGATGTGCCTCGTCCTTCAGTGGCACTCTCTCTCACAGAATCTCCACAACTTATCCACAGTCGCCTCGGTCATCCAAGTCTTTCAAAGTTGCAGAAAATGGTTCCTCTTTTATCCGGTCTTCAGTCTTTAGATTGTGTGTCATGTCAACAAGGGAAGCGTACACGTTCCTCTTTTGCCAGTCGAGTCAATAAACGAGCTGATGCCCCTTTCTCTCTTGTTCATTCAGATATCTGGGGTCCAAGTCGTACCTTGTCTGTTTTAGGTTTTCGGTATTTCGTTACCTTTATTGATGATTTTTTCCGTTGCACTTGGGTCTATTTAATGAAAATCGTTCTGAGTTATTTTCCATTTATAAAAAGTTTTATATTGAGATTCATACTCAATTTGGTGTTTCTATTCGTATTCTACGTAGTGATAATGCTAAGGAATATGTTTCTATTGATTTTTCTAATTTCTTGGCCACACAAGGTACTTTACATCAAACTACTTGTCCTCACACTCCACAACAAAATGGGGTGGCTGAACGTAAAAACAGACATCTCATTGAAACTGCACGTACCCTTCTTCTTCATATGCAGGTTCCCCTTCACTTCTGGGCATATGTTGTACTCATCTCTTGTTTTCTCATCAATCGCATGCCCTCATCTGTGCTCAACAATGATATTCCTCATAACCTATTGCTTCCAGATGTTCCTCTTTATCCTAACTCCACATGTCTTTGGTTGTACTTGTTTTGTTCATGATCTCACTCCTGGTAAGGATAAGTTAACATCCAAAGCCTTTCAGTGTATCTTTCTTGGTTATTCTCGTCTTCAAAAGGGTTATCGTTGTTATTCTCCCGATCTTAAGCGTTACTTAGTTTCCGCTGATGTCACTTTTCTTGATCAACAACCCTTTAATTCTATCCCATCTCAGTTGTCACAGGTTGATCATGTTCTTCCTGTCCCTTTTCTTGACTTGTCTTTTCCAGCTGCAGGTGCTTCTATTCCAGATGAGCAACATATTGCTTCTATACCTGAGGACCGTCCACTTCTCACCTATCAGCGTCGCAAAACTGTGCCTCCTGTCGACTCGACTCTTGCTGACTCATCGCCCACTGCTGTTGCTTCTTCCCCTCCGGATCCTTCACCAGAGGCTCTTCCCATTGCTCAAAGAAAAGGTACACGTACTACTCGTAACCCTTATCCTCTTTATACTTTTTTGAGCTATGACCGTCTTTCTTCACCTCATTTCACCTTTGTTTCTAGTCTTTCTTCTATTTCTATTCCTAAGACCGCAGGTGAAGCACTTTCCCATCCAGGGTGGCGCCAAGCGATGCTTGATGAGATGACTGCACTTCATTCCAATGGCACTTGAGACCTTGTTTCTGTTCCTCCAGAGAAGTCTACAGTTGGTTGTCGCTGGGTGTTTACTGTGAAAGTTGGACCTGATGGCCATGTTGATCGACTCAAGGCCCGCCTAGTTGCATAGGGTTTTACTCAAATATTCGGCCTTGATTATAGCGATACATTCTCTCCGGTCGCTAAGATGGCGTCAGTTCGCCTATTTCTTGCTCTTGCTGCTATTCGTCACTGGCCACTCCTTCAACTTGACATCAAAAATGCCTTTCTTCATGGTGATTTACAAGAAGAAGTTTATATGGAGCAACCACCGGGTTTTGTTGCTCAGGGGGAGTCTGGGAAGGTGTGTCGTCTTCGCAAATCCTTATATGGTCTCAAGCAGTCTCCTCGGGCATGGTTCAGTCGCTTCAGTTCTGTTGTTCAGGAGTTTGGCTTAATTCGCAGTAAAGTTGACCACTCTGTGTTTTATAGGATCACATCTCCTGATAAGTGCATCTATTTGTTAGTCTATGTTGATGACATCATCCTCACCGGGAGTGATCAAGCTGGAATTCGTCAGTTAAAACAGTATTTATTCAGTCAATTTCAGACAAAGGACCTCAGGAAGCTGCGTTACTTCTTGGGAATTGAGGTAGCACAATCTAGACAGGGCATTTCTATCTGTCAAAGGAAGTATGCCTTGGATATCCTAGAAGAGACTGGTATGTTGGCGTGTAAGCCAGTTGACACACCCATGGATCCTACTATCAAATTACTACCCGGACAAGGAGAACCATTATCTGATCCTGGACGTTATCGGAGGTTGATTGGGAAGCTCAATTATCTCACTGTGACTAGGCCAGACATTTCTTTTGCTGTTAGTGTCGCTAGTCAGTTTCTTGATTCTCCGTGTGATTCTCATTGGGATGCTGCTGTTAGGATCCTTCGTTACATCAAAGGAGCACCAGGGAAAGGTTTATTATATTCAGATCAGGGAAATACAGAAATTTGTGGTTATTCAGATGCCGATTGGGCAGGATCACCCTCGGATAGGCGCTCTACTTCAGGCTATTGTGTTTTCTTTGGAGGAAACCTGATTTCTTGGAAAAGTAAGAAACAAACTGTTGTTGCCCGATCTAGTGCAGAGGCCGAGTATCGTGCAATGGGAGTTGCTACCTGCGAGCTAATCTGATTAAAGCAGTTGATTCGGGAGCTCCATCTTTGTGAACAGAAGAAACCCATGTCTCTCATTTGTGACAATCAAGCTGCACTACATATATCCTCTAATCCTGTATTTCATGAGAGAACCAAACATATAGAGATCGATTGTCATTTCATTCGAGAAAAAATTCAGTTAGGAGAAATCAAAACGGAATTTGTCAACTCCAATGATCAACTCGCGGATGTCTTCACTAAAGCTCTTAGGGGTCCTCGGGTTGAATATATTTGTGGCAAGCTGGACGCTTACAATATATATGCTCCAGCTTGAGGGGGAGTGTTAGAATAGTTGTAAAAATAGTTCATTATATATATAGTCCCACATCGTATGAGCTCAACCTATTAGGTCTTTTAGTCTCTTTAAATAGAGAGCTCTTGTACATTGTAATACACTATGATTATTCAATATACAATTATTCTTTAATCTCAAGTGCATTCACACCCATATGTACTGGAAGAATATTGATAGATTGATGGTGTTATAATTTGATACTTAATATTTAAGTTAAAGTGTTAATTTTTTTATCTTATAGTTGGTGCTTCTTGATTTCAGAACAAGGTTAGAGATCCAAGCTGATTCTGCATATGTAGATTTGAGGTCCAGATGTCCATTCTTTTATGAATTTGGTTGCAAGATAGCACCTATGTAAGTCTCGCTTATGCCTGTATTTTCTTGCTTACATCATCTTAAAGAGGTGTTTATTTATTTTTGGCTTTAACTTTACTCATTTATTTTAATATATATTCTTGCTTAGTTTTGTCTTGGAAGATAGTATATGGCTGTCACATGTCATCATCCTTCTTATCTAGAATGAGCCACGGAATCTGAAAATTTTGTTATTGCAGAGTACTTACAGGCTCATAGCATCTCATTCAAATCCTTATCACCAAAAATTCCACTATTAGTTAAGACAATCAAATGAAAAAAGTAGGATGACAAAAAAAATAAAAAAATTACCGACTGCCTTTGCACGAGTCTTCCTTCAAAAAGTTTGGCAACTTGTTCTGTTAGCAATCTGATCTCCCCCTCCTCCTTTCTTTTGTCCAATATTCTGCTCCACCCTTGTGGCACCAGCATACCTAGAGAAATGAAAATTTCCCATTTGATCCAAACTTAAGGTAATAAACAATGCTTAACAATAACATAGATAATTCTTAGTTTAGCTAAACATTAGAGTTGGAATTTATTGTATTTTGACTGTTAAGATTAACTCCAGAAGCGGCATTTGTCTGGTATAATACACAACAAACGTGAATATAAATAGAGAGAAGTGCATATTTGTTTTTTTTTTTTTTTTTTAAATTATATCAATTCGAAGTCTTCAAATGATGTTTTATATCATTTTTCTGATGAATTATTTTATATCATTTTAGTTACAGTATGATTGAAATATCTTATACCATGTACAAACTACTTCTGAATTTATTAATTTGATCATTTATTTTTCATTTATGACAGAGTTGCCGATAGAACCATCGGGTTTCTGTTGTTGTCTGCATTTCAGAGTAGGTATAAGGAAGTCCTCACTAAGGCACATAGTTCAGCATTTGCTGCTGGTTCCAAATTCTGGACTATTCTGACAAAAGAGGAGATCAATTGTGAGACTTGTTCCACTTGCTATTTGAAGCATGCTTTTTTTGTTTTTTTGGATACATGAAACATGCCTTTAACATTTATTTATGCGGTCTCATCTTTTTCCCCTCTCATGCACGGGGAGATGTTCAATTAATTCTTGTTTGGTGTAATGCTTTTTGTAGTGTATGAGACAGCTCAATCCGCAATGGCATCCTTCAAGAAATGGCGAATGGGGGGACCCATGTTTCAGATAGCTTCTGTTCTGAGAAGAAAGAGAAAATCAAATGAATAGTTGCTTTCTAACCTTACATTTGTTTAGGGCAATTGATTTGGACCTGCAAATTGCAAGATGCGTTGAAAAATGGACAAAAAACGTTAAATTACTTATGATATCCTTGTAAAATCAATACAATGTGTTGTAATTTTAAATTGCTTGCGTAAGGTTATGAACACGAGAATTTATTATTAGTATTATTATTGGTTGAGAAACGGGGCTAACAGCCCAAAACCTAATATTTTCAAGCAGCTTGATTCCAAGTACTGGGTGTTGTCTACCTTTGGTCCTACGTGTCGTTCTTCCCTTATAGGCCTGTTGCAGAGAATTGCCAAGTCCAGTCAGGGAGTATTGCATTCGAGGAACAGTATATGCGTGATTATTAGCATGTGACTGGTGTATCATTATCATTAGTAGGGTTCGATCTCTGGCTGTGTGTATGAAAAAAGCTTTGTTGGGAAATATTTATTCACTTAATATGATCTCCTATCTCGAAATGATTAGTCTTTGGCTGCTGGTTAGATGATATTTTGGGAAACCAAAAAAAAGAAAAAAAGAAAATTCCTATATTCTTATATATACTTGGAGGTTATTCACAAAAATTTTCACCATTAGAATCTACTCACTACGTTAGTCTTATTGTAAGGCTCACATAATTAAATGATTGAGATCATTCCGGAGGGAGGGAGCATATAATAACTTTCTAACACTACGATATAATCAGCTAACTAAACTTTTCCATTTGATTTTCTGGACCAGTATACGGAATAACAGCAGCAATAGTGTATTTAATTACAAGACGAGAGTGATGTTAACTTATTCTAATCAGCCAATATCCAGAAAAAAGTGAAAAGTAGCCAAACTCTTCAAATTAATTTAACTGTCTTTGTTCTTTTAGTATGAAAGCTTTGGTAAAGGGATTATTTTATGACGGTGCTCATGCTTAAACTCGTGACAACTTTACAATCAAATACTCCAGCTATAATATGAAGTGCAAATCAACTACTGCTAAATGCCTCCTATTGACAGTCACGTATTTGGCAGGGAACAATCCATTTAACGGAAGTAAAATTTGTCACGACATCAAGCGCTTATTTGCTATGATGTATTTTAGCATATATGTATTTTTATGTTTTTATTGTTTTGGGTTGTAGCTTGTAGCACTGCTTGCACCATGTATTTTTTAGTCTTTCTGTTAGGATTCTGTTGTGGGGCCAATTACACACCCACACCTCACACTTTCTGTTACTCTTCTTTTCTTTTATTCGCATATATAGTCACACCTATTGTAATACATCACCAGGTTGTTACAGATAATGAAAAATACGTTTCTGCATTTTCTCTCTTTCTTGCTCTAATATGGTATTAGATGTAATACTCTGAGCTCATCATCTCCTCCAATGACTCGTGGAGGTAAAAACACCAATCCCCCCTCTTCTACCTCATCACCATCCCACGTTTTTTCTTCTCCCATGGATGATTTTGGGAGTCCCTTTTATCTTCAGAATGGTGATCACACTGGTCTCATTCTTGTTGCTCACTCTCTTGATGGTCCGAATTACAATTCTTGGAGCAGAGCTATGCTAATTGCTCTCACCGCCAAGAACAAGGCGTGTCTCATCGACGTTAGCATTCCTCGTCCCAATTCCTCTGACCTGTTGTTTCCTGCTTGGATTCAATGCAACTCGATGGTGATCTCTTGGCTCCTTGATTCCATTACCAAGGAGATTGCTGATAGTTTAATGTACTTCTCCACCGCCTCTGATTTGTGGGCTGATCTTCGCACACGCTTCCACCAAGCAAATGGACCACGCATATTCCAACTGAAACAGCAAATATCGCCACTTCACCAGGGAGCTCTGGATATCAATTCCTACTACACTAAGCTGAAAATACTTTGGGATGAACTCCAAGATCACACTCCGAATTTTCCTTGCACATGTGGTGGCCTTCGCAATCTTTCTGATTCCATACAGAGGGACTATGCTATGCAGTTTTTAATGGGCTTGAATGACTCTTTTTCATCTATACGCGCTCAGATTCTTTTGATGGAGCCATTGCCTTCTTTGTCCTGTGTTTTCTCGCTGGTTCTGCAAGAAGAAAGGCAACGGCAAATCTCCACCTCTGTCCTTCCTTCATTTGATGCTCCTCTGGCTAATTCGATCTCTGGTTCTTCAACAGCTGCACCGGTTCCTACTTCCATGGCTGCCGCCGTCTCTACTCAACGGCGTCCTCGTCCTCTTTGTTCCCACTGTCAGCAACTTGGGCACACCAGAGACAAGTGCTTCAAACTACATGGGTCTCCTCTGGGCTACAAACCCAGAGGCCCACACCCTCATCCTGGCCCATCTCCCACTCAGGCCCAAATAAACTTAGCCACCTCACAACCCCACTCACCACATGGCTCCCAATCCCTTTCATCCAGTCAGTTCGATCAACTGCTCTCCCTTCTTCAGACTTGTCCCAAACCCACCGCCACCGCCTATGCCTCTGACCCACCGTCAGCAACCTCTGCTCCTACCAATCCCTTGATCGCAAGCTTCAGTGGTAAGTTCCCCCTTCCTTTATCTTCATCTTCGTGGGTGATTGACACTGGTGCTACTCACCATGTCACTTTCACTCCATCTCTGTTTTCAGATACATCTTCTTCTTCTTCTTCTGGTTCTATATCTCTTCCAAATGGTTCCCATATTCCTATTTCTTATGTTAGAACCGTTCCTCTTTCCCCTTCCATTGTTTTGCATAATGTTCTTTTCGTTCCCTCTTTTTCCCTCATTCTTATTTCTGTTAGTGCTCTCACACGGGATTCTGACATTGTCATTCTTTTCTCCAATTCCTTTTGTCTTCTCCAGGATGCTAAAACTCACAAGGTGATTGGGATTGCTAGGCGCACGGGACCTTTACATTTTTGATTCTTCCAATTTTTTCCCTATTTCTCATGTTCCCCATCCCCTTTGTTCTTCTGTTATTTCCCCATCCTCTGTAGTATGGCACTCTCGGCTAGGCCATCATTCTCATTCCCTTTTAATTTCAATGAAGAATGTTTTACAATTTGCTGATAGTGTCTCTGATCATTCACATGTACTGTCTGTCCTTTAGCAAAACAGAAAAGATTACCTTTCATTTTGAATCCTAAAATATCTTCATCTGCTTTTACTTTAATACACTGTGACATTTGGAGACCATTTACTCCCCTTTCTGTTTCTGGTGACAAATATTTTTTAACAATTGTTGATGATGCCACACGTTTTACGTGGGTTTTTCCTCTCAAGCACAAATCTGATTTTACTACAATTTTCCCTTCATTTTACACTTTGATCCTCACTCAATATTCCACTGCCATAAAATCAATTAGATGTGACAATGCCCCTGAATTCCACCTTCCTCATTTCTATTCATCGAAAGGTATCCAATTATTTCATTCCCGTGTGGAGCGTCCTCAACAAAATTCAGTTGTTGAATGCAAACACCAACATATCCTAAATGTTTTCCGCGCCCTGCATTTCCAATCACACATTCCATTAGCCTACTGGACAGACTGTGTCCTTACTGCAGTGTACCTCATTAATCGCATTCCCTCACCCCTCCTTCATCATAAAACACCTTTTGAGCTTCTTACTCACACACTTCCTTCCTATTCACATCTTCGAACCTTTGGTTGTCTCTGTTTCTATTCTACTTTGTCTCGAAACAGACACAAGTTCTCTCCTCGATCCTCACCTGCTGTTTTCCTCGGGTATCCACTTGGATACAAAGCATATAAGCTCCTTGATCTCGATTCCAATCGGATAGTCATTTCTAGGGATGTTGTCTTCCATGAGTCTATATTTCCTTTCTCTTCCTCTGCTTCTTTGTCTACTTCTTTCACCTCTTTACCATCTTCATCAACCTCTACACCTCCAACCGCTACCACTGAAGCTCCTGATCAAACTATGACCAGACCTGTCCGTTCAAAAAGGCAGCCATCCCACCTCTCAGATTATATATGTTCCACATCTACTATGCATCCCATTTCTGCCCACTTGTCCTATTCCAGATTATCCCCTCCCCATCTTGCCTTTATCAATGCTCTTTCTTCCCACTTTGAGCCTTCTTCATATGCTGAAGCCTCCCAACTCCCTGAGTGGTCAGCTGCTATGGATACTGAAATTTCTGCTCTTGAAAAGAATCATACCTGGTCTGTTGTTTCATTTCCTGAAGGTAAGAACCCAGTTGATTGTAAATGGGTTTATCGAGTTAAATACCATAGTGATGGTTCTCTTGAGCGCTATAAGGCCAGACTTGTGGCCAAAGGTTTTACTCAACAAGAAGGATTGGACTTCATGGAAACTTTCTCTCCAGTTGCCAAAATTACATCAGTTCGTATGATGCTTGCCCTTGCTGCAATCAATCATTGGCATCTAATTTAATTAGATGTCAATAATGCCTTTTTACATGGTGAATTATCTGAAGAAGTCTACATGATTCTACCTCCTGGATATTCCAAACAGGGGGAGTTTTTGCCACCAAATGTTGTTTGCAAGCTCCATAAATCTTTGTATGGTCTAAAGCAAGCCTCCCGCCAATGGTATGCCAAATTCTCCTCCACACTTTCTTCTCTTGGCTTTTCTCATTCTCAGGCTGATCATTCCCTCTTCACCAAGTCTTCTGGTGCTACTTTCATAGCTATCCTAGTATATGTAGATGACATACTGGTAGCTTCTAACAATATACATAAGATTCATCATCTCACATCCTTGCTGGACAACAAGTTCAAATTAAAAAATTTGGGTCCTTTAAAGTACTTTTTGGGTATAGAAGTTGCTCGCTCTTCTGCTGGAATCTCTATTTGTCAAAGACAATATACTATGCAAATCTTGAGTGATGCTGGCTACCTTGGCTGCAAACCAAAGTCCACACCCATGGAACCGAATCTTAAGCTCTCATCCCATACTGGTGATCTTCTCCCAGATGCCACCTTATATAGAAGGTTGATTGGCCGATTACTATACTTAACCATCACAGGACCAGATATTTGTTATGTTGTCAACCATCTTAGTCAATTCATGGCTGCCCCAAGAGTCCCTCATCTACATGTTGTTCAGAGAATTCTTGCTTACTTAAAAGGTACTGTTGGACAAGGTCTACTTTTCTCAGCTTCTTCCAGCATTCAATTAAATGCTTTTTCTGATTCTGATTGGGCCTCTTGCCCGGATTCTCGCAAATCAATTTCTGGTTTCTGTGTTTTCTTGGGTAATTCTCTAATTAGTTGGAAATCCAAGAAACAATCTACTGTTTCCAGGTCCTCAGCTGAGGCTGAATATCGTTCCATGGCTCATGCTTCTTGTGAACTCACTTGGCTGCTTTCATTGCTTAAGGATTTTCATGTCTCTCACCCTGCTGCTGCTCATTTATTTTGTGATAACACTGCTGCTCTTCACATAGCTGCTAATCCTGTTTTTCATGAGAGGACAAAGCACATTGAGATTGATTGTCACTTGGTCAGAGATCAAATCATCAAAGGCTGTCTTCAGACTTTTCCTATTGCGTCTACACATCAATTGGCTGACATCTTCACTAAGGCCCTTCATCCAAATCCGTTCTCTTCTCTGCTTTCCAAGATGGGAGTGCATAACATCCACTCTCCATCTTGAGGGGGAGTTTTATCATATATGTAGTTTTATGCTTTTATTGTTTTGGGTTGTAGCTTGTAGCACTGCTTGCACCATGTATTTTTTAGCCTTTCTGTTAGGATTCTGTTGTGGGGCCAATTACACACCCACACCTCACACTTTCTGTTACTCTTCTTTTCTTTTATTCGCATATATAGTCACACCTATTGTAATACATCACCAGGTTGTTACAGATAATGAAAAATACGTTTCTGCATTTTCTCTCTTTATTGCTCTAATAATGTATAAGACTTGATAATATAAGCTTATACTATACGTTATGATATTTTCAGTTGTTTGATATAACCATCATATAATATAAACATATACATCAGAATTTCTTAATAAATCAAAATGATGTATAACTTAATACGACCTAATAAGGTGAGATTAGGCCTAATAATAGATTAATGTATTAACATCGCTGGTCAATACAATTTTCAAGAATTAATACATTATTTTAATATTAATACACTAAAATAAAATAATTTTTCAATATCTTAATTGTTAAATATTGGAGATTTTTATTTTTATAAAAATTAATATAATTTTGGACACTAATCAAATTTTTTTTATAAAAATTAATATCATATAATATATTTGAAAAAATCATATAAATTTATTATTAGAGTATTTTTATCAAAAATATTTATTTTTATTCTATTTAGTATTATGCAATATATTACCAAACGCTTGATAATATTATCTTATACAATACATTATCTTATATCATACCAAATGCTAGATAATATTAAAATTTAATCAGGTCTTATCTTATTGTGCACCAAACATGGCCAGTGTTAAGTCATGATAGATTATCGCTAACTGAAAATCATTAAGATGCTTACAAATAATCAATATTCATTCACCCCATTCGTTCGAAGATACATTAAGGTGCTTGTTTCAAATAATTAAAACTACAAAAAAGATGCACTTTATTAAATAAATAAAATTACATAGGTATAAAAATAAAGATTATACCTCATACAAGATGGAAAGAAAGAAAAACATATACATAAACAAAACCTCCATTACATGGAAGCTAAAAGGTCTCTCATCTCTGCTACAGACGGGATTGTCTCAGTAGGGTAAATCTTAGCCACAAGTTGGGCAAAGCTTTCGTACTTGTCAAGAAACTCCTTCTGCAAAAATATTTAAGAAACTGTTCAACTTAAGTGCATTTTCTACATAGTTTAACAATCCTTCCATTCACAACCCCACACACACATGCGTGAATAAATTACGTATCTCCAGCAAATTTCAATGAGTTTAATTTTGATATGCGGTAGAGTAAAACTTGTTTACACTATCATTTATTTTATTGTGTTGCCATTTTATTAAAAGAGTTTGACCTCTTAAGTAATTATTACCGTAATCAAACTCTATTCATGTTATGGCAATACATGATTAGATAATAGTTAAGTGAACAAAATGTTTGCTCACAATATATCAAAATTAAATCCAATTTAATTGCCTTTTACATGTATCTTGAAATTCGCAAAACTGTAGTATGCTCTCAGCCAAACTGGAGAAGCACTTATAAGACACTTAAGATTTGGCTCTGGAATATTTACTATATAAGCTCTCGTTCTTTCTTACTAAGTTACTGTAAATAGTAGGTATCTTTGTTGGCCAATTGGAATTAAGTACAGCTTACCTTGCACTTGTCCCATAAGGAGGGTAACAATTCCTCTGAAGTCAAATTCTTCTGCAGTTTCTTATACATAGCAGCAATAGACTTGTCAACCTAAATAGAAGCGCATAGACATAATTCACAAGGTAAGCATAGATGCCAGTGAGTAAGGACTTTAAAGAAGATAAGAATACTTACCCCAGATAAACTGGATTTTAACATCTTCCGAAGATCCATCTTTGACAGCCCAAGATGGAAGGGAATCTGAAATTGATGCAAAACCATCATAGAATTTTGTGAACTTTTAAGTCAAATGTCCAGAATTTCAATGCAAAATTTGTCTTAACTATTTACTTCACAGTTTCACTGTTAAGAACCCAGATTTTTCAGACAGAGAGATGAGAAAAACAGAGAAAGGAAAGAGAAGTATACTTTGTGGTCGTGTTTACTGAATTAAATACAAAGAATAAATGAGAGAAATCTCTTCCAAGGGTTTCCCCTTACAACTGAGCCACCGCTCTTTTTGCCCAAATGATAACAAATCTCCCTCCCCACTCTTCTTCCCTCTCATATGTAAGCTAATTCTCTACAGCTACAACTTTAACCACCTAAATGTTCTAACTAACTAGTCTCTTGATCCTATCATTCACACACCCAGAAAAATAAGGACAAAAATACAAAAATGTCTTGTTAGAAATAATATTAATTATTATTATTAGAATAGTCTAGAATAGTCTAGATTGTGGGCTTGGCCCATTAGGTCATCCCATTAGGTCTTTTAGTCTCTATAAATAGAGAGCCTCCTTGTACAGGCTTACACACTTGAATATACAATATATTTCAGATTCAATTTGGTATCAGAGCTCTCGATCTGAGGGCTCTGCTTCCGCATATATATCTTTTTCTTTCTTTTTACTGCCGTGCATCATACCGGCAACCATCCTTTCACACCTAACCCTTATTTAGTCACAAATTTCTTGTCCTCAACCTCGTATCATCAGGAAAAAGATCGTCAGCCTCCGTTCATCGCCGGAAACCGCCACAAAACCACCGTCCGCCACTGTTCACGGCCGTCAGACTGCTTTTCCGGCGACTTTTCCGACCAACCACCACGCGATCAGGAGCGGCTAAGGGAGGAGACCCTGTCTGTCCAAGCCGCGTGTTGATCGGAGCATCCACGCGCCGCCACGCGCCGGTGGAAGTCTCCGGCGGCCGAACCACTATTCCGGCGCGTGAGCCACCGTCCGGCCACCGTTCCAGGCCGGACCACCACCATCTTGCTCGCCTCCTCACCCTCTTTCCAGATCTGGTTTCCGTTCGTTGTGGGTCCCATCCGTTTGAAAGATATCAGTGAAAAACCCGCTGTTTGGACACTTTTGTGCAACGTTTTTTGCGCGATTTCTTGCTTTCTTGTAGTTCTTTGCTATTTTCTGGTCATCTCCTTTTATTTTGTGATGGAGGGCTCAAATAATGCGTCCAAAAACACGACTGGCATCATCTCCGGTACTACCCCATCTCCATTCTTTTCTCGGGCCAGTGATTCCAATTGGAACAGTGGACGCGGTCGCAGACGTGGCCGCAGACAGAGGCCTCGTTGCAATTATTGCCAGAATCTTGGGCATTTTGAGGAACGCTGCTATAGGAAATACCCTCATTTGAAGTCACCGTCTGCCAAATTTGCTCAAACTGATGTTACGCCACCTTCAACTGGATTAGTAACTCTTTCAAGTGCCGACTATGAGGCACTTCTCAAGAAGGTTTCTTCTCAGCATCCTACTCAAGACACTGGTAATCATGTTGCTTTTTTTATCAATCATCTCTTGGACCCTGGATAATAGACTCAGGTGCTACTCATCATCTTTGTGGTAATAAAGATCTCTTCACTTCACTTTCTTATTCTAATAACCTACCCGCTGTCACTCTTGCTGATGGCACTAAGGCTCCTGCTCGTGGAATTGGGGAAGCCAACCCAACTCCCTTTTTAACTTTGAGTTCTGTTTATTATATACCTGGCATTCCTTTTAATTTAATCTCTGTTAGCCAGTTGATTCATTCTCTTTCATGTACTATTACCTTCTCTAAACAATCTTTTTCTATGCAGGATTCGGGTACGGGGAAGACGATTGGAGCAGGCGTTGAGTCACGAGGTCTCTACTATCTGATTGCACCACCTTCTCCAGTAGCCTGTTCTCTCACAGAGTCTCTTGAGCTAATTCACAGCCGTCTGGGTCATCCAAACCTCTCCAAGCTTCAGCATATGGTTCCCTTTTTATCCAATCTTAAGTCTTTAAACTGTCATTCTTGTCAGCAAGGAAAACACACTCACTCCCCCTAAAGCTCGCTTAGTGGCCAAGGGATACACACAGATCTTTGGTCTTGATTATGGGGATACCTTTTCTCCTGTTGCTAAGATGGCTTCTGTTCGCCTGTTTCTTGCCCTTGCCGCCATTCATCACTGGCCCCTTCTCCAACTTGATATTAAAAATGCTTTTCTACATGGTGACTTGCAGGAGGAAGTTTATATGGAGCAACCACCAGGTTTTGTTGCTCAGGGGGAGAATTCTGGAATGATATGTAAACTTCGGAAATCTTTATATGGCCTGAAGCAATCTCCTCGGGCCTGGTTTAGCCGCTTTAGTTCAGTTGTTGAATCCTTTGGATTAATCAGAAGCAAAGCCGATCATTCTGTCTTTTACCGGCACAGCTCTTCTGGCCAGTGCGTTTATCTCTTGGTCTATGTTGATGACATTATCATTACAGGAAGTGATCAGACCGGGATTGATCAGTTGAAAGAGCATTTATTCAATCAATTTCAGATCAAAGATCTTGGCAGACTTCGATATTTCTTGGGGATCGAAGTTGCACAGTCTAGGCGGGGCATTTCCATCTGTCAGAGGAAGTATGCACTGGATATCCTAGATGAGACTGGCATGTTAGGCTATAAACCCATTGATACACCTATGGACCCCAATGTTAAGTTATTACCAGGACAGGGGGAGCCACTGCCAGATCCTAGTCGCTACCGCCGACTAGTTGGAAAATTGAATTATCTTACTGTGACAAGGCCAGATATCTCCTTCGCAGTGAGTGTTGCAAGTCAATTTCTTGATTCTCCCTGTGACTCCCATTGGGATGCAGTTATTAGAATTCTCCGATATATTAAAAAGGCGCCAAGAAGAGGTTTATTATATACAAATAAAGGGAGTTCAGAGATCTCTAGTTATTCAGATGCTGACTGGGCAGGTTCTCCTTCAGATAGACGATCCACCTCAGGGTATTGTGTTCTCTTCGGAGGAAATTTGATCTCTTGGAAGAGTAAGAAGCAAATTGTGGTCGCCAGATCCAGTGCGGAGGCAGAATATCGGGCAATGGCAAATGCAACCTGCGAGCTCATCTGGCTGAGTCAATTGCTGAAGGAACTCCATCTCTGTGAACAAAGGCCTATGAAGCTCATTTGTGACAACCAAGCCGCTTTGCATATATCCTCTAACCCAGTCTTTCATGAGAGGACCAAGCATATAGAAATTGATTGTCATTTTGTTAGAGAAAAGATCCAGTCAAGGGAGATCGAGACAGCATTTGTCAATTCCAATGATCAACTTGCGGATGTATTCACTAAAGCTCTTAGAGGTCCCCGAATAGATCATATTTGTAACAAGCTGGGAGCTTTTGATATATACGCACCAGCTTGAGGGGGAGTGTTAGAAATAATATTAATTATTAATATTAGAATAGTCTAGAATAGTCTAGATTGTGGGCTTGGCCCATTAGGTCATCCCATTAGGTCTTTTAGTCTCTATAAATAGAGAGCCTCCTTGTACAGACTTACACACTTGAATATACAATATATTTCAGATTCAATTATGTCAAATAAGAGATACACAACTGCAAACACAATTCTTTAAGCCCCCATTATGGCATTGCAGTCAATTTAATATTAAATATATATATATATAATATATATATATATATATATATATATGTATTTATTTTTTTAAAAAGAATAACAAGAGCTTAAAGAAAGTGATAAATGACTATACATTCTTTAAGCCCATTTAGATTCGAAATTTTGAACATGTTCATTGTCAGTGAGTATGACACCACACCAAAAACCTTCCATCTCTACTTCATACGCCCCAAGTGATCCATAGAAAACTTTAGCGCACTCATGGCCCAGAAACTAGAGTCCAAAAGTAGCAACCTTCAGCCTCTTCTACATTACCACTTAAAAATTGAGTAATCCTGCCTACAACAATGCAAAGGGCTTATTTAAGCTATAGGCACGGTCGAGGTAAACTTATGAACGCAGCTCTAGCAGAGAGCTTCCTAAGATATTCGCACCATCATGGAATTGTAATTATACACCACACATTAGTGTATATTAATCACTACAAATTCCCTCACATATCGGACACTCTTTGGGCAGTGTGGATTTTTGAGTTTCTATGATTCAAAATAAATACAACAAGACAAGTAGCTATATTTTGATAAAGTAGTCTGCTTTTGATTGCTATTCAAACTGGGAAACACCAAATATTAGGGTGAAAATCTAGTACAAATTTAATTTTCCATAATTCATAACCCATGATGCCCAGAAAGGATTGTTAAAGTCGATATAATGTTGACAACTACAATTAGTTCTATCCTGTTACGACTATTATTTGGCATAGGGGTTTTAATTATGAATCCCAGTTCCCAAATCCAGAGCTGCAACATATCCAAATACAGGGAGAAACCCAGAAACATTTGAAACAGTTCGTTCGATAAAAGAATTATAAATATGATGAGATTAGCAGAAGGCTATGAAGGATTAACAAGACAGCATTATACACACTAACCTCTTCAGGTGCGACAGTGAACATTAAGTCCTCAATCCTTCGTGTAAACTGGAAAAGACGTTCAAATTGCTGGCCAAAACAAAGGGATAATGAGCTGGGTCTCAAAGGATATTAATTCAAGAGCGGTTGAGAAAAAGATGGAAAGTAGAAAATAAATTACTCACAAAGTAGATAATCATGCTAATATGGCGTGTACAAGCTTGTTCATAGGCTTCACTGGCCTGATGATAAAACTTGGCCAAAGTGGGCACAATGTTGGCGAGGTCATACAAACTGAGTAAAACGAACAAAATAATAATTGAAAAAGGCTGTCATCCTTTGCAAAATCAACTTAATTAACAAGCAAGAATGAGACAACATCTTAGCAGGGGGACAAGGTAAAAACTTGCCTATTCTGAAAGGCGGCATAGTTCTCAAAAAGAAAAATATCTGCATACTTTGGATCGGTTTGTGCAATTTTTTCCAAAGTCGCAAACATTATGCTAACCTGTCAAGCGACATTCCCACCAGCAAACATTATGCCAACAGTTACAAAGTAAATTGAAAATAAATATTGATAAATACATTTTTTGTGGACCGCAAACAAAAAAGTGTAATTAGTAAACAATTGAAATCACTCAAAGTAATTATCAAAATAGTACATAAGGTTTGAAATTATTAATTCTTCTTTCACTTTGCAAATATGTAACGGTAAGATTGCGTACAAGAATTTTCCCCTGACCCCACCCTCGCTAAACGGGTTTTAATGGTGAGTGGATTTTTGTTTTATTTTTCTTTCACTAACGACTCATCATCGTATCCTGAATAATATCCAAGGGTATAAACCACCGCCTGAGCATTCTTGCAATTCACCCTAATCAAATGTATTACATACCTGAAGAAAAGGCACTACTCCAAAATACAACCTCCTTCCTTCTCTCACAACCAAAATACGGGTAAAGAAAATAAAAAAATCAAGCGAGGAAAAATCCAATGCTTATGAAATATTCCAAACAACTTACTCCATAATTTTTGAGAATTCAGGTATGAGTGATAAAGTTTCACATTAGTTATGAATAGACTAAGTAAGGACCATACAAGTGAAAGGACCTATGAACTCAATGATTTAAAGTTTTTGATTCAAATGTGATGTCGGGTTCACTTATGGTGGATTGTCGCTTAGCCTATACATGAAAATCTCCCTTGCCATGGCTCCCCCAGACAGCCTAACAGTAGTATTAGAACCAATGTTTGGTTGGGCCAAGCATGTGATTGACTAGGCTAAATATTTGGATATGATTGTTGGTGACTATGTTACACCGACACGGGACACGACACGCCGACACGTTAATTCTAAAAAATATTAGATTTCGATACATTAGGAAACATTTTGATATTAAATAATACTTTTAATATTGTAAAGAACCAATTCAACCCAAAAACTTAAGCTATTGGGTGAAGCTACATTAATGATTTTATATAACTCTAACACTCCCTTCACATGCGAGCCCACTGGGCTTAAAGGGTGGACAATGCACAGGCACCTATCTGTGCTAAGAAACTCCACAAGACTTAATTAATTATTAATTAAATGAGGGGCGGTGAGGATCGAACCTGTGACACCAAAGCTTTGGTACAATGTAAAGAACCAATTCAACCCAAAAGCTTAAACTGTTAGGTGAGGCTATATTAATAGTTTTATATAACTCTAACAAATATATATAATATAGTTTACATATAGCCTAACTATTTGGCCATAACTAAGTTTGGACTTAACTAACAATAATAATCCACAACAAGGAAACCAGTGGTGGAGCCTGCAACATTGGAGCTTTCTAACATTGGATAAGCCTGCAACATCCCCTTCACCTTCAAACGATGCTTCGTCCACGAAGTGTGATGGGCCAGGTAACATTTGGACAGTTGGGAGGATTTGATCATTTGGCAACTAGGGATTCCCATTGTCATGGAAGACAACTGTAGTGCACTCCTGTTAATGGGCGGTTGAGATTGGTGTCTTAGAACGAGGAAAATTTAGCCGTTGAGATGGGTAATTAGTTGTACCCTTCAATTGAGATACTTCCAAAGTCATGGGACCTAGGTGATCAGGATGAGGTTGCGGCTGATTGGCTGTAGGAGTGATAAGGTAATCCGGGTAAAGCTTGTTGAATGTGGAGGGCCCCACATGATTTTGAGACTTTGCACTCGAAATTAATGGAGCAGAGAGGGTAAGAGTATAGTTATTTGGTTCTCCTGAATTTTTCGTTTATGAAAAATGCTTCCTTTTTTCCTGTGTAAGCTCTGAATGTGGTATTTCTTTTCCCCATAGCTATAAGATCGTGTCTTTCTCCATTTGTATTTGCTGCTCTTTGGACCCCATTTGTTACTGCTAAAGGTGAAATCTCGAGTCCCCCTTCGTCGTGAGTGGCCATTCTCTTTTCTTCTCTTTTCTCTGTTTTTTCAAATGGATTCTGTGTTTTTTTTTTTAAAAAACTTTTATATTTTATTTTAGAATTATTTTAATTTTATAAAAATTTCGAAAATTTTAGTCAAAATCGCATTTCGAGATAGTCAACATAAACCCAAAATATTGACCGCGTGTCGGTGTCTGACACGAATTTATAATGTATCCATGCTTCATAAGTTGGTGATCAAGTTTGATGTGCATCCAAACCCATGTTGTGGATGGAGCCAAGGACTTGGTTGGTAACCCCATAAATACCATAAGAAGCTACTCTTTTTTTGGGGGGAGGGGGGGCAGGAAAATGCCAGAACTAACACTTGACGGGGAGATGGTTTGGAATTCAAGTGAGTGGTAAAGTTTCACATTGGTTAGAAATGAATTAAGTGGAAACCATTAAATGAAATGATCCATGAACTCAATGCTTTAAGGTTTTAGATTAAGATGTGGTATCGAGTCAACTTATTGTGGTGTATTATCGCTTAGTCCATAGATGGAGGTCTTTTTTGCCATGGGTTCCCCTGACCATGTAATAGAAGAGAGAGAGAGAAGAACAAAGGAGAGAAAAAAACTCATTTCTTGATTTTCTTTGGTAAATCCAAAAAGTGAGGTTTTCGGAGAGAATATTGTATTGTGTACCCATTAACATGAATTGGTGATAATGGAAGATTTGGGTGGACTTCAATAAAAGTAGCTGATAATGGAAGATTTGGTGAGCTCCAATAAAAGTTGTGTGATTTTTTCCCTTAGGGGGTGTTTGGTACAAGTGTTTTTTTTGGGTTTCTGGGATAGTGGGGTAGGGATAAGAGGAAGAGTAAAAATAATCCTGGGTAAATTTTTTTCCCCATGATTTTATTTTACACTGCGAATTCCTATCAGAGAATACCATGGATGAGATGGAATTTCTTTTCCCCAATGAGACGGGAAACTAGTCACTCATTTTTCAGACAAAAATACCCCCAACAACCATGCTTCACCATAGACACAGCTGAACCACTGTCTCCACAACAATTCACCAGCCATAAACCCTAGCATCTCCTCTCACCCAGACCGCTGTCCATGGCAACCATATCCCTCACTGCTGCTAAGCTTCCACCCACAACCACATCCCTCGAAACATAAGACGGGTCCAAACTTAGCGGATCTGGTCCTGGACCAAAGAAATAGTCACTGAAATTACCAAAAAGAAATAGTGGGGGATGAAGTAGCAAGTAGTGTCGTCCACAACACCCGCGTCACTCACTCGGATTTTGTATCTCTTGTAATCGATTTCATTTACATAGTATTTCCCTGAAAACAGAGTTAAAATTGTAGCATTGTTCTCGCAATATAATTTATACATCTTGTTCCCACAATTGGGTGGGCCACTTGAGAGTCGAAATGGGTAACACAGGAGGAAGCAGGACAATCGTGAATGGATAAGGCAGTACAAAGTTTGTAAGAATAGGAAAAGAATGGTAGCAACAGAGGATATTGCTCTACTTTCCATTGTTGTCTAGATCAAGTTTTTTTTGTTTCTAATCGGGTTTCAAAAGTAAGATATTACGAGGGTAGTTTCGTAAATTCTCCCAATATTCCCATCAATATTTATCATCAACCAAACATACACTCAAGTAAATTAATCAACATTCCCAGTAATATTTTAGCCTACCAAACAACTTTTTGGCAACATTCTCGGAAAACTTTTTTCCCCACCATATTCCCAGTAATCATGATTCTCGGATAAAAAAAAAATTTCTCCTGTACCAAACGTCCCCTTACGGTCCTTTTAGCATTAAAATCTAGTGTGTCAATTGGTGTTCTTCTTTTCTTGATCTTTTTTGTTGATTACTTCAATTTTGCACTAGAATAATTGTTGTTCGCCCCTCAACAAAGTGGTGTTAAGAGCTATGATCGTAGTTATGGGTGTTTGTGATGTAGTTGTTTATTTGATTAAAGTGGATTAAAAGTGGCATTAAGAGCTATGTTCATTTGATTACGTCAAGAGCCATGAACATAGCTCGAGTACTATGGTTAAACTTAATGGATCCAATTGGTTGATTTGGAAGCCTATGATGGAGGATCTCTTATTTTGAGAATACCCGTTGAAGGTAATGCTAACTAAAGTTGTTGGATATGAAGTGGAATAAATTGAATAGAAAATAACTGACAAAATAAGATAGTAGCTGGATATAAGTATTTTCCATCATGTTGAAAATGAGACATCAATTGAAGACCAATGGAAAAATTTACCATCTCTCCAAGTTATGAAAACAACTAGCAATAAAACATTCTTCATGAGACAACTTGTAAACTCGAAGTACAAGGATAGTATCCTTATTAGTTAACACTTGAATGAATATCAAAGTATAGTAAATCAATTGACTAAAATGAATTTGACGCTTGAAGATGAGTTGCAAGCTTTACTATTAATGGGTTCTTTGCCAGGTTGTTGGGAGATCTTGGTTGTATTAGATAGTAATTCAGCTCCAGAAGGTAAACTGTTAACAAGTACATTTACTAGTGCATTTATTAAATAAAGAGACTATAAGGAAGTCCATGGGTTCAAATGATGCACAAGCATTTGTCACGAAGAACTCGGGGAGATTGTTGGGAATTCAAGTGTAAGGGGTCAAGTCTCTTATTGGTTAAGAATAGACTAAGTAGTGATCATATAAGTGGAGTACCCATAAACTTAATGACTTAAAGTTTTGGATTAAGATATGTCGAATCCACTTATTGTAGTGGATTGTCACTTAACCCATTGATGATAGTCTCTCTTTTATGCACTCCCCCTGGCAGCCTAACAATAACATCCTAGCCACCTCACACTGCAAAAGTAATGATTGGAGTTTTCGATCTAATGTAAAACACTGCACAAATATCTGGATCCAAAGCTCAATTTGACCTATTCATTGATGTCTACACCCTTCCACTTATTCTAATCTCCTCATTTTTGGAAAGCATGAGTTTGAGTTCTCAACAGAATCATGAGACATCATAAAACTAGAAAGAGTTTTAAAGTAACCACTTACAAATTTTGTGTATGCTTGGTCAACCAAATCCCTAGACTGTCCCTGGATGTACTGCTCCATCCGAGTTGCGAGGGTTGCAAATCTATGCAAAACAATTAACAAAGCATTTAACACCAATCATGAAGAGAGACTTGATATTTGAAATAAATACAAACTAGAAAGTGAACAGTAGCAGCTATAACTTCTAATTGCTCCCTAAATATAAACCATTGTTACATATATATCAGGATCCATTGAAATGATTTTAACCAATGCGACCATTGAATTATACCTAATTATAATACTGATCTTACAAACCAACATTCATAAAATTTAAACAACTACAATTATGTGATCTAGACATAGATATTTTCATTTAATTTAAGTTATATTACCTACACTCATGTTAGTTGAAGTTGATGGAGTAGAAAACAATCGTGGATTATCTTAAACTTTATAAAGTATATTATACATATACCATGCTTATGAAGATCCCAAGTATTCCAAGATTGCTTTCTACTCCATCAACTTATGTTAGAATTAGCCTACCGCGAGCCTTAAGGCAGTAGTAAGGTTGCTCCCTGTGACCGGAGTTTAAATTTGAAAACAAATTCTTTTCAAAAATTCAAGAGTAAGACTGCATACAATCAACCCTCACCCCTATCCTCGCAAGTCGGGAAGCCTTAGGCACCCGGTTTGACCACATGTTTGCCAAATAAACTAAACATAGGGTTATAAATGTAAACTCCAAATTAAATAATTTAATAATAATATCGATGGGCCTCTAAACCAGATAAAGGAGAGAGGCAAGGAAGGGGCAGGAAGGAAATTATGCTTGAAAGAGTGTGTTAGGAAGCAAAAGGGAGGAGTCAGTCTAATAGAATGGACAGGTGGCAGCATGACATTAGGGATGGAGAGCTGGACAAGAGGAAGGAAGGAATCTTACTGTGACAAAATGTTTAATAAAGAAATCCAAGATGGTGTTAGGAGCCTTTCACTGCATTAAGCATTAAGTAGAGATACTAGTCTAGGTCTCTCTATGTTCTAAACTTTGTCAAATTGGCTATAAACGTAGCAGAGAACTGTACTATCATTCTCAAAAGGAATTGCCTATTTCTTTGGCGAAGGGGTTAAAGTAGAAAACAAGGATGCATTTCACCTGGGAATGTAGGATAGGACACCCATTTGGCGGACATTGCGTTCATTTCTTTCAATTTGATGACAAGCTTCATCGACAAACTGCAAAAAGATTTCCAATTAAATGAATTGGGCTAGCGTCTCAATCTTCCAAATACATTTGGAAAAATAGTGTTCTTTTTTATGCTAGTCACCTACACGGCTGAATTGCATAGATATCCGAGACTCCAGGTCACCAAGCAAAAGGCGTACAAATCCTGCTGCATCAGCTTTCTGACCAGAGAGATAGCGTTCTGTTATTCCGTGCATTGATATGCAGCGCAAAGGATCAATCTTGTATGCCCAATCCACAACAGCATAAAAGTCTTCCTGAAATCATATAAGGCAGTTTCATAGCTGTAAAATCCATGATTTTTTAAATATACTAAATCACAGCCTGCAACTCATAAAAAAATGTCCAATTATAAGGAACAGTTTGATCTTCAATCTAAGATTTTAACATCAAATAGAATATTTTCAGCTTATAAACATATCCAATAATGTTGACCTTCTAAAGACCTAAGCTTCATTTTAATGTTGCCTTGTATACCAGAGTTGGCAAATTCTAGCATCTAGTTTCTGTTATGAGTCTCAGTTTTTTACTTAGCCCTGCTCTCTTTTGTCTAAGTTTTCTGCTTAGGATGCATATGCAGAGATCTTATCAGCTGGTAACTCTTTCCTTCTGCAAAGATGTCAAGTAACCAGAAGTACATAAATATATGATATTCACACTGCTAAGGGGAAGGATTGAGAATTAAGCCACATAGGACTTAAACAATTTATCTTGGACTTGCATACTCTTTACCATCGTGGTTTATGTTCTTAGCCGCTTGGTGTCTGGAGCTCTTAGTAATGGGCTGGTTAAGCAGTTGAATATTGGTTTGAAGGGTTTTTAGTCTCCCATCTTCAATTTTCTGATGACACCATCTTCATGGAACCAGAGGTTGATTCCTTTGTCAATATTTTGCCTAACATGATATGCATTGATGTTATTTCTGCACTTAAGATTAATTAGGCTAAAAGTGGTATAGCATGAGTGATTGTGGACAGTCAGATTTTTACCGTTTTGGCTACTTTGAAGGAATATCAATCTCTTCAATGCTCTCCAACTTATCTTGGTATCCCTTTGGGAGGTAATCCTTGGGCCTTATCCTTCAAGGATCTGGTGGTTTGTAAAATTTTCAAGCAAAAATGGTTGGAAGGGTGCAGTTTTCTCTCTGGGAGGTTGGATAACTTTTGTAGAGACTTGTTTATCCAGCATCCCTTTATACTTTCTCCCCCTTTTTTGCATTCCAGTGGCTGTTGCTCGGACAATGGAGAGAATAGTATAGGAATTCCTTTGGTATGTGTAAAGAACCAATTCAACCCAAAAGCTTAAGTTGTTGGGTGAGGCTACATTAATGGTTTTATATATTTCAACACGCCCCCTCACACGAGAGCCCACTGGGCTTGAAGGGTAGACAATGCACAGACCCACCTACCTGTGCGAAGAAAGAAATTCCACTAGAAAGAAAATGAGGGACGGTGAGGATCGAACCCGGTATACCAAGGCTCTGATACCATGTAAAGAACCAATTCAACCCAAAAGCTTAAGCTGTTGGGTGAGGCTACATTAATGGTTTTATATATTTCAACAGTATGTGTAGGAGTGTTAGAGATATATAAAACTATTAATATAGCCTCACCTGACAGTTTAAGATTAAAGTTTTGGATTAAATTGGTTCTTTACATGGTATTAGAGCCTGGGTGTCATGGGTTCGATCCTCACCGCCCCGTATTTAATTAATAATTAATTAAGTCTTGTGGAGTTTGTTAGCATAGGTAGGTGGGCCTGTGCATTATCCACACTTCATGCCCAGTGAGCTCTTATATGAGAGGGCGTGTTGAGTATAATATAAACCATTAAAGAGGCCGTCACCAAACAGCTTAAGCCATGGTTGTTAGTATCGCACGATACGCGATACGTATCGTGCGATACGATACGATACAGTTTCAGAACGATATGGATCGCAATGGTGAATCGATTTTGGCATGAATCGTTAGCATGAATCGTAGAATCGAACGATTTGAAACTGAATCGTGAATCGAAATTACATTTGCGATTCAAAATATAAAAAAAATTTAAAAAAAAACACTCAACAGTCGCTTTAAAAAAACACTCAAGAGTCGCCTCAACAGTCGCTTGGAACGGGTTGTTATATGAAAGGTTGCTTCAGAAAAATCAGGGATTCAAAATCCCATTTAAAAAACAAAAGGAAACAAGAAGCAACGAACGAAACAGAATTTGTATAGGACTGAGAGGAGAGACTTTCAGAGGAGAAAACGCCTTGCAAATTGTAGAAGAAGCAACGAAACAAAAATTTCAGAGGAGAGACTCTGTGTAGAAGAAGATTTGCAGAGGAGAAGAGCGTGTAGAAGAAGAAGAAGCACAAAAGACTTACGGGTTACGGGTACTATTTTTTTTTGCTTCTTCACACAGATGGGTACTATTTTTGAAATGGGTTTGTCCGTTTGTGATTGTAAATTGAAAAGAGAGGATCAGAGGATACATTATATTAATATATTATTATAATATTATAAACAAGCTGTAGTGTGTTCTCAATTTAAAATGCATGTGAGGATGTGTCTTATAAATAGATTATTGCTTCTATTTATAAGACACGTACTATTGCCTAATGCCTATTGCTTTCTCAGCTTTTTGTGTATGTGTCTTATAATATTATAAACAAGCTACAGTGCGTTCTCAGCTTTTTTGTGTATGTGTCACTGTCATGTTGAAATTGAAAGTGCTATTGCCTATTGCTGAAATGAAACTGCTATTGCCTAGTGCTGCCTATGAAAGTGCTATTTCCTTTTTCATTTAAATAGTGAATAAATTTAATTGAGTATTAGTGCATTAGCTGAAGACACCTACGGACCTACCTAATTTTTTTGCCTTTGATTTTTTTTTTCTCTCTTTTACAGTAATAGAAATAATAAAAATGGCTCCAAAGAAGAAATCCCAAAAACAGAAGGATATAACTTGGGATCATTGTAAATCCCTTGCGAATAGATTGAATGTTAAATGTAATTATTGTCCCAAAACAATGTGGGGAGGAACATTTAGAATGAAGCACCATCTAGCTGGAACACACAAAGAAGTTGCTCCATGCCAACAAGTGCCGGAAGAGATAAGGGATCTATTTAAAAAAATATTAGAGGATGCAAGAGATGATGATGAACTAGAGTGCTTCGATGATAAAGATTCACAAAAAAAAGGGAGCATGGATAGTTTTATGATAAAAGGAAAAAGTGGAAGTGGCTCATCTGCTATGAAACAACAAACTATAAATTCAATGGTGAAGGATAGAGATTTGGTGGTTCGAGATATTTGTAGATGCATATATGGCAATGCATTGCCATTTAATTTAGTTAAGAGTCCACTATTTATTAATATGGTGAAGTCTATTAGTGAATATGGTGAAGTCTATTAGTGAATATGGTAGAGGCTTAAAACCACCAACTTATCATGAAGTGAGGGTGTCATATTTGAAGAAAGAAGTTGATCTTGTCCATACTAATTTGGATAAATATAAGTTGGAATGGAAGAAAACTGGTTGTACATTGATGTCAGATGGATGGACTGATGGAAAGGGTAGATCTCTTACTAATTTTCTTGTTAATAGTCCTAGAGGGACTGTTTTTATAAAATCTGTTGATACAAGCAGCTTTATTAAAGATGCTGAAAAAATGTTTGGATTACTTGATGAGATGGTGATAGAAATTGGAGAAGAGAATATCGTTCAAGTAGTGACAGATAGTGCTTCAGCCCTTGTATCTGCTGGACAAAAGTTGATGGATAAAAGAAAGCAACTCTTTTGGTCACCCTGTGCAGCCCACTGTCTTGATTTGATTTTGGAAGATATTGGTGGCATTACAGTGTTCTATAATACCATTTGGAAAGCAAAAAAAATTACAACTTTCATTTATAGGCACACATGGGTGTTGAATTTGTATAGAACCTTTTCCAAAGGTAGAGAGTTAGCTAGGCCTGCAATAACAAGGTTTGCTACATCATATTTGACAATGCAGTCAATTTTGAAACAAAAGACTGCACTTCGATCTATGTTTACATCTGAAAAATGGGTTAATAGTGCTTATTGCTCTAGGCCGGAAGCCAAATTTGCAGAAAATGTTGTTTTGGCTGATAAAAGGTTTTGGAAATCAATACATTATTGCTTGAAAATTGTGTCTCCTCTTGTGAAAGTTCTTAGACTTGTGGATGGTGATTCAAAACCTGCAATGGGATACATTTATGAGGCTATGGATAGAGCAAAGGAAGAAATAGCAAAGAGTTTTAATCATGAGGAAAAGAGATATAAGGATGTATGGGAAATCATTGACAAGCGTTGGGATTTACAACTTCATAGGCCTCTTCATGCAGCCGCCTATTTTCTTAATCCAAAGTAAGTATAGGTTCTTTATATTTATTTATTTTATATAAAATTCTTTATATTTTATATTTGACTTATTATTAAGCCTTATTCTAAATTTATAATAATTATATAGGTTCCACTATGACACAAAGTTCAACCCAGATCGTGAGGTTAAAACTGGCTTGTGGAAGACATTGGAGAAGATGTGTCCTGATATTGAAACAAGGATCACAATTGATTCCCAAATTGAGAAATTTGACAGGGCTGAAGGACTCTTTGGAAATAGTTTAGCAATTGCAACTAGAGCTAGGAAGCAACCTGGTAATCATCGAATTTTGTGTATTGATTAAATTATGTTTTGATATTTTTAAAATTAAAAATTAAATCATTAACCAAATATTTATTTATCAATTACTTTTTTTTTTGCTAGCTTTATGGTGGAATAGTTTTGGAGACGACTGCAAAGAGCTGCAAACAATAGTTATTCGTATCCTAAGCCTCACTTGCAGTGCTACAGGGTGCGAGAGTAATTGGAGTGTGTTTGATCAAATTCACTCAAAGAGAAGAAACCGTTTAGAGCAACAAAGGTTGAATGCTCTTGTGTTTGTTAAAGACAACCTTCAACTTGAAATTAGGCAAAAACAAAGGGAGGAAAAAGGAGGCACATATGATCCTATCTGCTTATCAGATTTAGATTCTGACGAGGAATGGATTACTGAGCAAGAGGAGCCTTGCCTAATGGATGAGGAATCTTGGGTGGATGTTCATGAGTGCTTCAACGTTGATGAAGGAGACCAAAGCAAAAAGAGAAAGAGAGGTATATTTGCATATATAATATTTCTTTTAATCAAACACCTTATGTAATATTTATTTACATTATGTATATATTTTTTTTAGGTCCTCGAAATCTTCAAGATGATAAGAATGATAAAGGCAAAGGCATCTTAATACAAGAGGATGTCAACAAGAATGATAACAGAAAAGGATCTCAAATTATTGAACAAGATATGGGAGATGAGTCAGATGACTCTACTAATGGAGAGGATGAAGGACTAGATATGCCAATACTAGATCCTGATAGTGATAGTAGTGATAATATTAGTCTTGAAATTTAATGAATATGAGAAATAACTGGTTTTAGATTTGGTTACTTATGGATTTTGGTATTTAGATTTTTTTTAATTTGGATTTATATAATATTATATATTTTTAAGTTATTTTTAATTTGTTTCTGAATCTTACGATTCGATACGATTCACGATACAAAAAAACAGCCGAACGATTCACGATACGTATTGCGATTCAACAACCATGGCTTAAGCTTTTGGGTTTGTTGAGATATATAAAACCATTGATGTAGCCTCACCCAAAAGCTTAAGCTGGTGGGTGAGGGCTTTTTAATGGTTTTATATATCTCAACACGCCCCCTCACACGAGAGCCCACTGGGCTTGAAGAGTGGATGATGCAACAGGCCCAGCCTACCTGTGCTAAGAAATTCCACGAGAGAAAGTGGGGGACGGTGAGGTTTGAACCCGGGACACGAGGCTCTGATATATCCCAAGGTTCTTTACAGGGTTGAATTGGTACTTTACATGATATTAGAGCCTCTGTGTCCCGGAATTGATCCTCCTCGCCCCCCATTTTCTTTGTGGAATTTCTTAACACATGTAGACTAGGCCTGATGCATCATCCACCTTTCAAGCCCAATGGGCTCTCTTGTGATGGGGCGTGTTAGAGATATATAAAACCATTAATATAGCCTCACCCAAAAGTTTAAGCTTAAGGTTTTGGGTTGTATTGGTTCTTTACAAGGAGAATCGAGTAGAGACCATCTTGTGAGTCGGGATATTTGTTTTAGACCCAAGAAGGAAGGGGGGGTTGGGTCTTGGTAACTTGGCATCCAAGAATGTAGCCTTGGCAACTAAGTGGCTTTGATGGTTTCCTTTACCATGTTTTTCTTTATGGATAATGCTATTTGAAGCAAGTATGGTTTGCATTAAAATGGGTGGGACGCCAAGTCAACTTAGATTTCTCCTCTTCCTCACTTTGGGTGATGGTTCTTATATCATTTTGGGAGGATACTTGGGCTGGGGATTTCCTCTTTCTGAGGCTTTTCCAAGTCTCCTTCAGCTTTGGAAATTCTCTTCATAATGCCCCTGTACGTCAGTTTACTCTTCTTAATTAAATTCTCCTGAAACTTTTATTTCATCATAAACTTGCATGATAGATTGGTTAGTTAGAGTCTCTTTTACTTAGCTTGATTTTATTCATCGTTCTTCCAATAATGATACAAGAATTAGGTCCCTCTTGGGTGTTTTCTCTCATAATTACTTCCAATTCATCACAAACTCTCCTAATAGAGATAGTTTTTTTGCAACAAACCTATCCGGAAATCAAAAGCTCTAACAGTTGTCCTTAACAGGATTGACACTAATGATATGTTGCAAAAGTGAAGAACTCTCACTACTTTATCTCCTAATATGTCTATAATTAGCGGTTCTAGTTCGTAATCCAGAACTCATCTTTTTTGCATTGTTCTGCTGCAGGTTTTGGAATAAGCTTTTTGGAAATTTCCTGAGAGAATTGAGTTTGCCCTAAGGATTGCATTAGTTCCTCCTTATTAAATTTAGAGGTTCTGGCTTCTGTAAAGAAGATAAGATTCTGTGGCAGTGCTGTGCATTTGCTGTTCTCTGGTGTCTTTGGATGGAAAGGAATGCTAGAATTTTCAAGGGAACTTCTCTAGACATTTGGGACAGGGTTAGATTTTTAGCTTGTCTGTGTTGTTCTGCTCATGGATTTTATAGAATCATTTTGGCATGCAGAGATTGGCATACCTTGCTACATGACTCAATCTCTTAGTTTCTAGATGTTTTATTTTTGTAATTTTCTTGTGAGGGTTCTTATCCTCTACCTTTGTACTCTTCTTTTCTGAATGAAATTTATTTTTCTATCAGAAAAGAGAGGGGGGCGGTGAACAATAAACTTAATCTTATCACAAGAAGGCAAATGCTATATGTCTCTCGCCAAGATGCTTATCATGTAACATTCAGAAGATCCAGATCGCTTCATCTCACATATATCAGAATCACAAAAGTAGACTCGAAATGATAAAGAGCATGTTTATGCATACTTGAATTCCGTCTAGTAAATCCTGAAGTGATTCATTTAAAGCTGCAAGCTCCGCAGAATTTTTACCTACAAAATGGAAGGAACTGTTAAATTCCCGAAAAATTGATACAAACAGGGGATAACTAAACTATAATAGATCAAATATAAATTCAAAAGTACAGAAAGGCTATTTGCAGAAAGTCAGGTACGTGTACCAGATTTGCTGTCATTCTCATCAATGTCCATGATTCCCAAATCATCATCATTGGCATCATCATCATATCCAGTTTTATTGCCATTAACAACACCTACTGGAGAAACAAGTGTAGGAACCTCGAAGCACATAAAGTGTGCAAAAAAAGAACTCTGCAATGTATGCAACGAAGATTTATAAATTTGAAATATTAAAGACAAATCTGTGACAAAAATGAATGAATATCAAACTTTCACCTCATCCACCAGAAGAGGGATAAAAATCGTGAGCATCTTTGCATAAGCCTCAGAGACTGTAGACGTGTCAGTAGCATTTACATTCTGACCAGAACCTGTGGATCCTTCAAGCCAAACAGTTGGATTTCTGGATGCTTTAGTACTAGCACGAAGTTCATTTGCAAATTCACGGGCCTGTAAAAGGATACATGAAACTTTAGACTCCATCCATGTTCATACCAAAGCATAAAAAACAATATATATGACCTAGAATTCAAATACCAATTATAACACAAATCTTCTTGCCAAAGACCAAATGGCAATCAAAACTCTCTGATATCCAGTTAAGGAAGACAAAAAAACATCATAAACCAGATCAAACAGAACTAACAATGGAGGATCTCCAGGTTGCAAAAGTGCATCCCCACTTCAACAAGTTAAGTAATGATAGTGGTAAGAACTATTGTTCTCTGTTAACTCTTCTTTAAAAAGATAGTTGTTGAGAAAATATTTGACAATTTTCTTTGCAATACATTAGAAGTTTATTTTCTGACAGGAATCAAATAAAATAAAAAACAATTTTAACTTCAGTTTCCCCTGCTCACTCCATGTTCCGTCAAGCATAAAGCATACAGTCCAGGTAACCCAGCTTCTTCAGATTCTAACAAGGAGGTAAGAATGTAATCTTAAAGTTTCACAGGGCTTGGGTGGAAGCAGGCTTGAGTCTGAGAGGGTTAAAAAGTTACATACACACATAGGCTTAAGAACAATGCTAAGCAAACAACACTCTAGCTGAAAGACAATTACATAACATAATTTCCATTATGATCGCATCCACAAATAGGTCAGCTTGACTTATACCTGGTCAGACAAATCTTAAAACTATCTGTGATTAATATAATATAAAATTATTAATGTAGTATTAAACTTTTGGGTTGAAAATTACACTATAAATTATGGGCTACAACGTGAAACATGCCAACTGGCACTACTTTGGCAACTTATTAACCTGAAATGAGCTACAATTTAATGTTCTATCACTCATAAGATAGTCAGGAAAGATTTTAAAAATTGGGATTTTTATTCTCTATAGGAAGTCTCATGGTCCTCCCTTCCCATTACTATTTTTTTTTTTTTCGATTTCTTTTTTATCTTAGATTATAAGTAATCACATTAAAGAGGGCAAGCCTAGAGTGATAATGGGATCGAATCCGAGAAACGACCTCTTTGTAAATATGCAAGGATAAGGCCGCGTACCGGCATTTGCCCTCACCCTACCCTCATTAGTCGGGATTTAATCGGAAATGTTTATATGTAAGTAATCACAATAATTAATGGCTTTTCACATGTACAATGATTACTTCTCAGTTCATACAAAGGTAAAAGAGCAAGTCATGGCAAGAACTTTAACACCAAACAGTTAAAAAACAAATAAAAGCAATATGGTGTGTGACAAACCTCCCTGCGAAGGAGCAAGTTTAGAGAACTGCAATAAGCTTTCCTTAATGGACCCAAGCAATTCTTGTCAAGACTCTGCAAGTATACAGGAAGATAATTTAGGTAATAAAAAAGAAAATATATGCATGCAAAACAAAAATTTGAGCCGGAATAGTAGGTCATCCATATTTTAACCTTTAAATGTTGCAAGAGACGTGCATATGTCCTGCACTTGTACCGCAGGTCAGCGTGATCAGGCCTCTTCAACTGTCCCCGCTGTTTAGAGCAAGCAGACAGAGTGATTCCCAAAAATTCAATCCAAGACTTCAAAAGTAACAATTCTATAATAATTTTACAGAAAATACCTGAGAAAAGTAACTTTTATCACTTATCATGAAGTCCACCAAACTAGCAAAGTAATTTCTCAAGAATTCTGAAGCTCTCCTGACAAAAGTAGATTTTAATTTTTCAAGTTCTGCACGCTTCTCTTTAACCTGTAGGAGGTAGCAGGAACCACCATAAAAATAGATGACTTTTAGGTCCTGTACATATTTGCCATTTCAACCAAAACCAGAGTGCTCTCTTTGCTTTGTCATCCCAAATTCATATTACTTCTCTCATAATTCTTTCCATCCAATCAAGATGGTAGAAACTAAAGAATAAAAATCACACGTCACCTTAAAAAAATGGCTCTTAATATATTTTTAACAAATACCACAAGCATTCCATGTCCCATGAATAATTTTGTTTCCTAAATGGCTAAATCATGATCACTTGCTTTACCAGATGATTTTTAACGTGAAAGTAAAGCAGTGAACATACAGCTCTCATGTTTGCATAAACAGGGTCTAGATTAGGCACTTCAAGACCACGCAAGGCACTGGTCAACCATTCACATGCTTCTACATTTTGAAGCATTCGAGCTTCATCAAATGAACCTCCTGTCAAACATGCTGCATACTACACCCAACAAAACATCATCAAAATAATTAAAGCTAGGTAAGATCATCCAGCTTAACCCAGGATACATTCACGTATTGAAGGCATACCTCAGAAGGGACACGCAATCGCTCAAGAAGCTTATCAAGCTCCTCAATGAGAGATTTGTTATTTACCGATTGCATTTCCAAGCTGTTATTGCGGGTTTCTATCTGGATATCAGAAAAGTTATTAAGATAAAATAAAGTAAGAGATCAATGCTTTTTAAAACTCCTACATCCAACATTATATCAACTAGATTACCAAGAGAAGCAAACAAAACTGAAAAAATCTCAAAGCAGAAAGCAACAACACCATAAAATAGCCGCTTCTTAGAAATAATTGTGACCATAACCACATTTTCAAAGGTAACATTCTAATCTAAATTAATATCATTACTCAGAAGGAAGATTTTAAAAAGGGAACAATAAACCTTTCTATTTTCTTAGAGAAAAGAAGAGAATTTAGGAAAGAGAGAAAACAGAATATAGAATGAGAGGTGGATAAAATATCCTCCATGATGAATTCACACACCACAGAGAGAGAGAAGTTGAGTAGTACAATAAAGCTCTGCAATCTCTCTCTCTCTATATATCAAAACCCCCTGATTGAGGTCATGGTACCAACACCAAAGAGATGCTGTATATACACTTCTATCTCCATAACAAATCCAGAGGGAGGATACTATCCTTAAAAACACGAGTTTTGTTCTTACTAAACACACTTAATAAATAACAACATATTAAAGTAACAAAGTTTTTCCCCTTGTTACTCCTGCCTAATCCTTTGAAGCAAACCCAAAAAATAAAAACTGCTCCTAATTCAGCAGACACATCCAAGACTCCCCGAAGTTACTAAGTATTATGCTCGTGATTAAACTGGAAGTTGAGCAGTGTAAAAATAACAGGGAAATTTTTTCCAAGATAACACAATTAACGGGAGTTAGATGTTTTATTTTCATACTTTGGTTTACCGCCATTGCTCTTGGTAATGTGAAAGTGAATTTTAAGATACAAATAAATATGGTCTATTAAATTACAGAGAAAACAAAAGAAGTAACACCAAAATCATTGACGTCTTTGCTTTATAACTTGTAGAAAAAAGAATTGAGGTTAGAACAAAAAATTAAATACAACATACTGGACTAGTGCTTGCCTTGCTTTAACAAAGGAACAAAGAAAACCAATCAAATGATCCATGATTCCAGCAATTAGTGCCATTACAAGCAATGTATCTAGGAAAATTATATTCTCAACTTGAAGGGTACAAGCCCTTACTGATGCAATATCCTCTCTCATGTGCCGGAGTTTCAAATTGAATATGCTTAACCATTCATCCAAGTCTTCCACACAATCCGTTGCTGCTTCAAGCCCTTGCAATACCTGCAAGGAACAGATTAGTATTAAACCACTTTATTAAAACATCCTAAGTTATGATTAATAACTAATCGGAAACATGGAGATTTGTGAAATTAAGTTGCATTATCACAGCAGCTATAATGAATGAAATGACAATAATGAGATACTGTTACAAGTTTACAACTTAAAATATCAGGACAATGTGAAGCTTCAAGCAGGCATAAAATCAGAAAAAATGGTTGATTTAATACAAAAGTCAATAATCCAAGGTGTTTAAATAATTAAATCATAGCTTAGACAACACAAAAGCTCAGTTCAGTCTATCATTCAAAACTCACAGGTAGAAAATTAAGCTGCCATAAAACACATGAATCAAGGGGACTGTTTACAAGAACATACAGCAAACAAGAAGGCATATACCAGCAAAAGAAAGGTAATCAACTCAAAGAACAATAATACCTCATCCATCAAAGGTTCACTTTCTAAAATGGCATGCACGTTTGCTGCTTCCAGAGCTTGGAGCTCTCTCTTCAACCTTTCAGAAAATACCTCTGCTTCACCAATGCCCATTACATAACTGCACTTTAAAAAAATTCAACCATTTAGTTGGGCACAATGGCATTGTGAAAGAGGTGATTTAGCAAAACTGAATTATGTATGTATCCAAGTGACATATTTTTCTTCATTTTGAACTTGTTAGAAATATAATATAAAATATAAAAATCATTCATCTGTCTTCGCCTAACAACTTAAGCTTTTGGGTTGAATTGGTTGTTTGACATGGTATCAAAGCCTCTCTGATCAAGTGATCCATAGTTCGATCATTGCCACCCTCCATTCTTCTAATAATCTTCTAATAAATATTGTGAAATTTCTTAACACATGTAGGTGAGCCTATGCATTGTCCACCCTTCAAGCTTAATGGGCTCTCGTGTGAGGGAACATATTAGAAATATAAAAACCATTCATCTGCTTTCACCTAACAACTTAAACTTTTGGGTTGAATTGGTTGTTTGTTAGAACTTTTACAAATATGTTACAACCATTATATTCAAAACTTTCCACTAATTTATGAAGGGTTTAATATTTCTACTTTTACTACAGAAAACTTTTTCCGCTACACTCGCATAAAAATGAGTGAATTCCATTATATCCACTAACTTTTTATCTTTGTTCTTATTATAATGGAACCCACTCACTTTTATGCGAATGTGCCAAAAAAAAGCAACAAAAACATAAATATTTTTCCCATTTATGAATTCCCTGCAGCAATTTTATGAGGAAAGCCAGAGAGACTCCCTGTGACCCTAGGATTTATAGAACTCAATCCAGCAATTTACTGAAACAGAGGCCATTATTTCAAGTATATTCTTACTCATCATAAATATTTAACCTCAATACCATTTAAGACAAATAAGAATAGCACTTACTTTCCCAAAAGAACCTCCATGTCCTCTTCCTCTGCCTGGGAGACAAGTTCCTTTTCTACATTGACTTTCAATTCTGTCTCAGTCACAGCAGATGCAACAGGACCACCATCTTGCAAGTTGCTTTGAGTAGAAACTGAAGATGTATTTTCCTGTTTCAGATATTGTGAAAATAAACAAATAGAAGAGCCAACTATAAACAATAATTAACTGCAACTAGTCACTGTGATAAGAAATTCAGACAGAGAGACAATCCAACTTAGACACACTCCTATGCTATGTTTGAAAGGAAGGTAAGAAAGGGGAAGCGAAGGAAAATTTGACCTTAACCCTCTCTGGGAGATTATTAAGGATAGGAAGTAGTGGGATGTATTCCCTTTCAAGACCCCATCCCCCCAAATTGGCAGGCAAGCAAGGGATATGTTTATTTTAAATTAAATAAGGGGAAGTAACTCTCATTCCCTCTACTTTATTTTGATTCCCAAACAAGGGAAAGAGAATTCTCCACCTTTCCTTACTTAAACATCAAAACAAGGGGGTTTAACTACCCCTTCATCCTCTCTCTCTTCTCTTCCCCTCCTCTCCCCTCTCTTCGCTCTACTCGAAACTTTCAAACGACGAGTTAGAGCTTAACATCCTCAACTTGAAGTCATGGACTAGAAAACCAATGATGAGATAAGTAACACTCCATACATAGTAACAAATACCAAGTAATTATTAATTATGCAGGTAAAGCAAGAAGTATTCATTAGAACAGAATGATGGCTACTTGGTTGTAAAGAAGCACTAAAATTAAGAGACTAGGAGATCATAATATGCACCTTAGCCCAAAGAGCCATCTCCACAACATCAATACCAACAACCTTCGGAAGGCGACCCAAAACATCTTTGCAGATGTTTAAGATGCAAAGAAGGAGGCGATTCCTACAAGAAAAGTAACAGACATGATGAGAAAACTTCCCTCCCCTCACATAGAACTCAACCACTGTCCATGTTTAGATTAGTATTTCTCTCAACAAGAAGACCTGTCATCAATATTGCGCATTGTCCACTGAGAAGGAGCCACGCTCTGGTTTCTAAGGTTATCAAATCCCTACAAGATATACATTCATCAGTTAAAGAAACAAATGATTAGGAAAACATCAAGAAATAAACTTCAAAACCAGGAACGGTTGCTTCTCACAATATTACTGTGACAGAAACTGAGAACAATATGTTTGGAATTTGAATATAAAGATATCATTGTGGAACCTTACCAGTGTAAATGTACACCCACTGGGATCATTAGTTATAACTTCCACCTTCGAGAGGTGCTTTAGCTTGTATAGTTTTGCAGGCTGCAAGGACAAGAAATTTTATTGACAATAGTAAAAAATGATAGAACATCCGACCAAGTTAAAATCACTGAGAAGAAAAAAGAAGGCTATGTTAACATTTATAGTGAAGTATCAACCAAGCCAATTTCAGTTCATCAGTTTCTTCTATACATAGCTAGGTATATCCCAGAAAAAGTAAATAAAAAATAAAAACATGTATGAATAAGAGGAAGGAAATAAAAAACATATCCCTCAACTAGTATCAATACGATGGATAGAAGTTGCAAGGAAGGGAACTTTGTTAAATATACTCTTAAATGGTTGTTTGATTTGTTTCACATAGTTAGATACTCACTCCTCCACGGTGTTTGACATGGTTTCAAGATTCTCCAAAGTGAGATACTCATGCCCTCCCAAACTACTTGAAGTAGTGGATGACACATTATTTGGGCTTTTTCCTAAGAGTGTAAGTTAGCTTACACGTAATATAGCAAAGGACTTAGTTATTAGTATTGAAGAATGAAAATTTATGCTGTACAATTTTTTGTAATTCAAGTGATTAACCCGAGCAGTGGGGGAATATGCTAACTCAATTGAGTGATAAAATAAAATGTTTCTAACCACAACAAAATAAGTGACCTTACATTCAGGACTTTTTTCCTATGTTGCATCGACATGGGACATGACAAGACACTTCGACAAGTTAATTCTAAAAAATGTTAGATTTCGACACGTTTTGATATTAAATAATATTTTTAATTTATGTAATGTATATTATATTTAATATTCAATAATTTAACAAAAAAATGAAGCTAAACTTATAATATCTATCAATTTTGCAAAGAAATATAAGATATCCCAAATATTTATATTAAACTCAATAAAATGATAATCGTAATTCAACAAATCTAATAATTAGAACTAAAAAGGCAACGCAAACTTTGAACCTTTTTTGAGTCTCTGCAATTTGTGTCAGAGTGTCGGACAGAACTAGTTAGGATTTTTGAAGTGTGCGGTGTATCATAACTTTTCCAACCCCCCCCCCCCCCCCCCAACCCCCCCAAAAAAAAAACCCACAAAAAAAAAAAAAAAAACAAGTGGCAAGAAACAACAGCTCAAGAGGGATCTCTAGCTACTTTATGTATTTGATTTTAAAAGAGGGGTTGGGGGACAATGAGCTGAAATCCACTGAGGCTACAAAATCAAGCATATCCTGAAGAAAAACGGAAGGAAAAAAAAAAGTACCTCAAGAACTCCTCCCGTAGAATACTTCAAAACTCGAAGAAAAGCTGTTGTACTCTGACCTTTTGATTGTGCTGCAGAAAATAGCACGTTGTCAACAACAACCATACAAAAATATAATTTAACAAAATCGTTACAGAAGTAACACACGGTGAACCGATCACACACAATCACTTTAAAAACAAAATGAGTTTTTCCAACCAATACAGTTGAAGATCCAACTACCTCTTCCACAACAAGCACATGAATGCAATATGAACTAACTATATAACTAATGCATCAGAGATCCTAAAATGAAACCGAAACAGAGTATCAGAAACAGTTAGAAAGAGAGGTAACTGGAGAGAGCGAGAACCCTAGGCTTGGCCATTTGACGACCAAGCTTGGAAGATTTTCCCCAGATCCCTTGACTTTTGGAAACGCGGAGAGACATCACGATCTTCTGCTTAGGGTCTTCAATTGCAGCCTCGCAAGCTCGCCGGAGCTCGGTATCGTCGGCGCTCGATTTCGCCATTTCTCCGTTCGTCTCCGATTTCGAAGCTCGTTTTGGAAAGAGACAGAAGAAAGAGAAAGACACAACAAGTTTTACAAGTGCGCGTGTTCTCCGTCACAGTTAAAAAAATGAGAAAGAAAAACGGTTTACCGGTTGGTCTTGTTAGTGTCTTTTTTGTTTTACTTTTCTTTTACTTACTGAGCGACTCATTTTTACTTTCACAGTTTTACCTTAGACCGACCTCGGTCCTTGTACAACTGTACAAGGGTGTCCCTGATGTTTTACTCTTTCCCACTGTTTTGAAATTTTTTTTTTTTTCTAATTTCTATGTCCTAGAAGAATTTTTGAAAAAAAAAATTTAATAATATAATTAATTTTTTTACGTTGATAATACAATATAAATTTATTTTTTATATTTGAAATAATTATAAATTTGTCAATAACCAAATCACAACATAATATAATCAAAATTTTATATTTAATAAATAATAATTATTTAGAATAAATATAAGATTTAACCTCATGAAAATATTAAAAAATATAATTCATTTTTTATAATATATTATTATTATTATTATCTTAATTGTAAAAATAGATAAATACATGTATCTAACATAAGTCAAATTATTTTTTCACATAAGTCATTTCAAAATGAGTTCGCTTTTTTTTTTTTTAGTATTAACTATGGAGGTATCCTCATTCAACCTCCTCCGGTCACCTTGTCCTCGGGGTACGGCCTTGAAGACTAGCCCCTCATTGGAACAACGGGTGCATTGAGATTCGCTACCGGAGAAAGGATGAGACTAATCCCCCATTCGAAGAGAGAGGCATGTCTTCTGGCCGTCAAAGATTTTCTAAGAATTTGCTTGAAGCAGGGTTTGAACCCCTGACTCAAGCAAATCCTTGGGAGCTCAGTTGCCAACAGAGCTACCCTTGGAGGTTAATGGGTTCGCTTTTTCTACAGTCTATGTAGATAACTTATCTACATTGAGATCAAAACGACGTTATTTTGAAGCGGAAATCACATTATTTTTGTAATTATAATGTATTTTAGGGTTATAATAGTCTTTTTCATTATATTTTTTTAATTTTCAACCCAAAACAACATCGTTTTGAGAGCAAATGTAGATAACTTATCTACATCCAATGTAGAAACATTAAATCCATACAGCACAAACAATTAAAGTTACATTCTAATAAAAATATAACAAGTCTTTAATATATTTTGAATATCTCATTATTCATACCGCTACAAAATCAAAATCAAATGTGAGTCATGTGCTAGATTTTTATCTCGTTTTTTTTTTGTTATGTCTCGAAACAAAAAAAAAAGCAAGAAATTTAAAAAATTATTTTTTAATGACACCTCATAATTTTTTTTTAATTTGCATTTCTAGGCTACCCGTTCATTCTCTATGACATGTTGCTAGAGGGGAATCAGGCCAATGGGATGATGGTTTCTCGGGCGTTTGGTTCAGGTTTTCTTATGACAAACCCAGGCATTGCATATTGGCATTTTATGAAGACAACGTTTGGTTCAACGTTTTTAAAAAATTCCCCGAACAACTGATTTGGCTATGCTTCCACAATTCTTTGCAAAAAGTAACGATAAACACAGACCAACAATGCCACTTTAAAAGTGGTATTGTATGATAACCGGGCAAATGGGATACATAGAACGAAGGATCTGACTGAACTACCCTTCTAACCTAAAGCAGCGTGAAAGTTCCACTCCCCTCCTAAAAATCAGATTATACATCTGTGCAACCTCATTGCTATAGTCTCCGGTGCGCACAAGGTGTGGAAGCTCATTTTCAATATTATTCGTGGTTGAATCTCTGCATGTGGTAAATAACTTAATCTTCTTATGTGGTGAACAGAATCAACGTTGAATGTGACGGAGAAGTTGAGAAAGTGAAGTCTGGTGATACTGTTGTTCCTTCCACCGACGATTGTGGGTTCCCTGTGTTGTTAGACCAGCAGTAGTCAATCGATTGTGGAGGTTATCACACCTGAATGTATCCAGTTTAGATCTGGGGCAATCCCAAATCTATTCTAACAATGCAAAATTGATTCTGCAGTCCGTGTTGTTTGGAAACTCTCCGCAACTTCAATTATAGGCGTTAGAAATTCTAAATTTCTAACAGTGTAAAATCAAAAAAGCTAGTATCTGGCTTTTGTGTAAAAATTCAGTTATACCATAGTGCAGTTCATTGGTTTTCCAAAAATATTTGTATTAATATTAAAAAATTAATAAGGGGTTACTTTTGTAATTTTATACCATTTACCCATCAATATTTTATCCTCAACCAAACATAGATTTCAAAAACTTTAATCAATTTGCTGGGTAATATTTTGCCCAACCAAACAAATTTTTTTAAACTTTCATACCTAACTCATTTTCCCTGCAGATCTATAGTAATTACATTTTCCTGGTAAAAAAAAATTTCACTTATACCAAACGCCCCCTAGGTATTGGGATCTGCACAACTATCACAGATGAATTTTGAAAAGTCTCAAACTAACATGGGAAAAAGGCTACAGGCAAATAATTATGGAAAATGATTTTTTATATGTAATCACGATGCTCACCAAAACCTTTGATGCTGTCCGTGAGTCTGAGTCCCACTTTTTGACTTGCATATGGGCGTATGGATGACTAAAGATTGGAAGGATCAAATTCAGCACGTATATAGGGAAGGCAATATGCGCCTACTAACTCTCCAACTATCCATGGATACCAATTTTATCATTTTCCCCCATACATTTTCCTGGTAAAAAAAAATTTCACTTGTACCAAACGCCCCCTAGGTATCGGGATCTGCACAACTATCACAGATGAATTTTGAAAAGTCTCAAACTAACATGGGAAAAAGGCTACAGGCAAATAATTATGGAAAATGATTTTTTATATGTAATCACGGTGCTCACCAAAACCTTTGATGATGCCCGTGAGTCTGAGTCCCACTTTTTGACTTGCATATGGGCATGGATGACTAAAGATTGGAAGGATCAAATTCAGTACGTATATAGGGAAGGCAATATGCGCCTACTAACTCTCCAACTATCCATGGATACCGATTTTATCATTTTTCCCCACATGGGGTTAGGCACCCTTTTTTTAGCTGATTTTAGTTTTGTTAGTTTCCTTCGTTGATTGCTACTTTTGTTTGGGCTTTTTCCTTTAGCTCACCAAAAAAATAAAAATAAATTAATTAATCGATTCTATTGACCACTATTTCTAACTATTTCTTTTCTTCAAGTTAAAAACAAAGAAAAATAATAATTTTGGCAACTTGACACACCTCAAATTTTCATAATTACTTAGGTTATTGATTTATTTTTAATCTTTAATTTTCTTTATTTCATTTAATATATTGTAATTATAAATTTAAAATTTTACACTATCATTTAATTATATTATTGATAAGCTTGATTATTGTAATTCTTTAAAAAAAATTAACTTTTTAATAATATATCAATATGTCCTTAAATGATATTTAAAATGTATTAGATTTAAAATTCTTTTAATGTATATTAAAGTACACTTTTATAAATCATCAAATATTATTCTTTTTAAATTACTAAATTTTAAATGATGATTTAAAATTTTAAAAATAAAAATTGAACTACCCGATGCAACATATTAAAAATAATTTTTTTTTCAAAAAATGACAAATAATAGTAATAGTTTATTAAGTGATTGTTTGGGTGATTTTTTTTTAGTTTTTCTTCTTCTTATAAACAAAAATTAGGTCAAATTTTTTTATAAAAAAATTATTATAAAAAGAATTTTTTAATAATGAAGAAAAAACTAAAAGCTCCTAAGAAGAGCTTTTTTTATGATGTATGTCAGCTTTTTTGTCTGCTCCTTTATTTTAACTTTTATCCTTATTCTTGTATTTATAAATGTTATTATTACTCCAATAATTCATTCTAATAATAAATTAATTTATCTTCCTCGAAATTCATATATTACCCTAATATTTGTAAATTAATTTTTCAAAACTATTAGAACAATTTTATATAATCACTAAATAATTTTATACTTTATTTTTTAAGCTCTTTTTTTAACTTTAATTTAAAAGTAGCTTTTAACTTAAAAAAGAGAGGTGTCAAACAAGCCAATATCCTTCGAAAATAATATAAATGTCAAAATCATTATAAATATATTTTTTATATCGATCAAGTAATCGATTATCTGATTATTCCAGTTTAAGTTCCATCAGATCATAGGAAACTGCTCTCCCAAAATCATTTTTTTATTCCTTGGTTTAAACTCAAAATCTGGAACAAACTCTTTACTACTTGAACCAATAACACCTTTCAAATAAAAAACATTATTCTTAAAAACTATTTAATATTTTATAATCGTGAATCATTATTTAATAATAATAATAATAATAATAATAATAATCATCATCATCATCATCATCATCTTAATTAAAGTGTGTGTCCTCTAAAAAAAAATTATTTTTTGAAATTATCTAATATCACATAATGTTAAATGTTATATAATCTCCTTCAAGTAATTAATCAACTCCTTTTTTGGGGCGGAGGATAGGGGGTAAAACCCCCACCAAAAATAGACAAAATCAAGAAATCAGATACAAAATCAAATAAGCAGACAAACAAGCTAAATAGTTATAACTATACGAAAATCTCCATCACCCATTGCCTCAGCTTGCAGAAGAAGAGATAAGCCAGGGGGATCTTCAAACTATATGAATTTGTCCTAGTGTTGGTAGACAAATGGGTAATTTGATAGCCAATCTGCATAATTGTTTCCTTCTCGTCGTGTATGAGTGCGGATGACATGCCAATCATTGTTTAGCCAAGCCCATATCCGAGTCAGCAGGTAAGACTTACGAATTGTGTCTTCGTTACTGGAAAGCAGAGTAACTGTAGAAACTGAGTCACTTTCCAAAATTATATGTTTCCAGCCTCGCTGCCAAGCACATTTTAAACCTTTTAAAATACCCCAATATTTAGTGACAATAGCAGAACAAGTACAAATATTATAAGCAAATCATCTCAGTCAACCGCCAGATGAATTTTGAAGTAGTCCATCACAAGCAGCTTGACCAGGACAACCCTTAGCAACTTCATCTGTGTTCACCTTAATGCATCCATCTTCAGGAGGTGTCCATTTGATAAGTACTAACAAACCTTTGGTTTACCATATTTTTAGACTAAATAACATAAGAGTTATATGGTAGATTGCATGGAATTCAAGGTTTTACGTTAATAAATCATAAGATTGAAGATTGAGCTAACATTATGATATTTTGTTCATTTAGAAGGCAAACCCACAATGATTGGTGCTAAGAAGTGATAAAAGGATCAGAGCATAGAATTGAATCTCAATCTTAGCCAAAAGAAACCAAGAGAGTGCAAGCCTATAGTCGAATGAGCGCATTCAAGTGCGAAGAAGGGCGCTCAAGCACGTTAGGACAGTGAAAATAGGCAAATTGATCCATCCAAGGCGCTCAAGCGCTCAACAGAGCGCTCCAACGCTCCAGAAAGACAAAATTTCCCATCGAGGAGCACGCTTGAGCGTCCAAATGGCCGCTCGAGCGCTATAGGCAGTCAATTACAAGAGTTTCAAGCGTGGAAGCGTGCTCATGCACCCTATAGCACGCTTGAGCGCCCAGCGCGAGCCCAGCCAGCCCAATCTACAGGATTTTAAATACAAAAAGAAACAAGCAAGATTTGATGGAGAATTGATAGAGATTCATGGGGAAATTTTATGAAGAATTAAAAGATTTGGTTTCAAGGTTATAAATAGGGAGCTCGGGGTTAATGGAAAGGATATAGACACACAACAGAAGATACACAGAGACCAAGAGGAGGAATCATGTTGCGGAGCGTTGGAACACTGAGGAGTCAAGACGACATCACACCAATGGAGTCTTAGGGAATTATTTTCTTTTCAATTGCTTTTGAATTCAGTATGCTAGGTTAAGTTTTTATGTAGTTATGAGTAAATGGAACCCAATTGAATCCTTATGTTTTATGAATTAAATTGTCTCTGAATTCTTCTCTTTCTATATTTGAATAAATTTATCTGTTTTTAATGTTTTCTATGAGTTTGCTCCTTATAGATTGATTTAGGGGAATTGTATGACAATAGGGATGTTGGTGCATGGACCCTGATTTGATAAATTTATCATAACCTTGTGATCTAAGGATAGACATAGGATAACTGTGCAATCTTTAAATTCTTGATCTTAATGCATGTTTTCTTAGGGGATAATCGGGGAACTAGATTTCTTTCAAGATCACATAGATTTAGGGTAACAAGAAATTGAGCCCTGATTAACTTCGAAAGAATTGATTGACATTATATTAAGAGTAGATTCTTGATTGTTTAATTCATAACATAAAGAGGATATTGAGGGAAGTCGAAACCCTAACTACGCTTGTTTTTAATCTTTAAATCAATCATCTTTTCAATTGTTTTTAATTCTGAATTTGCATGTTATTGATTGCTTTTAATTTCAAAATTCTCATCTCAATCTTGGTTGTCCAACTAAATTGCGATTAGTGAACTAGTGTTTGAAATCCAATCTTCGTGGGAATGATCTCGTACTCCGGTACACTTTATTACTTAACGATCGGTGCACTTGCCGAGTCGCAACAAGTTTTTGGCGCCGTTGCCGGCGATTGGATCCTTCAACATTAGAAGTAACTAAAAACTGTTTAGATTGGACGTTTTAAATTTCTGCAAAATTAAATTCTACATTAAACTTTTTTGCATAATCTCTTTATTCTTAGTTTATGCGAGGTATGGTTAACCCACGATCCTTGCAATTTGATCCTGAGATAGAGAAGACAACCATAAGTCTCAGAAAAATTGCCAAGGAAAGAAAAGAAAAAGAAGCATCAAGCTCGACGGAACCAAAGGAAGAAACTATGGCTGACAACATCGTACTTCAGAATCCTCCAAGAACCTTGGGAGATTACATGACTCTAGCCCGAGTTCCGCAGACGACAAGCATTGTTAGACCAAATGTGGATGCTAATAATTTTGAGCTCAAGCCAGCACTGTTGCAACTGATTCAAAAAGATCAGTTCGCTGGAGGAAGCACAGAGGACCCCTACATTCATCTTGAGAATTTCTTGCTTTATTTTGACACATTAAAGATGAATGGAGTCTCACGTGATGCCATCTTGCTCAGAGTCTTCCCATGCTCACTGAAGGAAGAAGCAAGAGGTTGGCTGCAATCACTGCCTCAAGGAAGCATCACCAACTGGGATGACTTGGCTACCAAGTTCTTGGCCAGATTCTTCTCATCTTCAAAGATGGAAACTTCTTTTGAACAAAAAGAAAGTGAATCCTTATACGAGGCATGGGAAAGGTTCAAAGGACTACTCTGCAAATGTCCACAACATGGCTTTGAAGCTTGGGAGAAAGGACAAATTTTCTTCCAAGAAATAACGCCCAATACAAGAACCTTGGTGAATGCCGCATCAGAAGATCCTTGAAAACAGAAACTCCAGAGGAAACGTTCGAATTGCTGGAATCTCTAGCCTCTCAGGAGTTTGATAATGCTCCAACACCACATAGGAGAACAGGAATCATGAAGCTTGACGGCTATGATGCACTGTTACCATAGAATGAGCAAATATTACAAATTAACAAGAGACAACAAGCACAACTAGATGCTCTCACGAAGCAATTTTCAAATTCTCAAGTCTCTTCTGTTAACACTCCTCAAGTCACTTATGGGATTTGTGCAAGTGCTCATGCTACTGAAGGCTGTGATTTCATGAAGGCACCTGAGAATGCTGAAGACAACGAAATCTGGTACGATCAAAAGAACCAGAATAATCCAGGGAGGAAACAATATGGAAATAACTATAATCAAGGGTGGAAAAATCAAAATCAACACTCAGAGTTTAGTTACAAATCAAATCATCAGTTGAATCCTCCTCCACTAGTACAACAACAAGGTAACACCTCAGAGTGGGAGAAAGCCTTTGAATGGCTGTCCAAGACCACTTCAGATTATATTCAAAATGCAAATGCCTTTAGGGAAGACACCTCTGCTTTTATGCATAAAACAAGAGCTTCATTTCGGAACAAAGAAGCTTCCATCTGGAATCTTGAAACTCATATTGGCCAGCTGTCAAGACAGTTCGCTGAAAGAACCCAGGGTACCTTCTCGAGTAACATTCTCACTAACCCAAAAGCACAATGTAAGGCTATTACTACCAGAAGTGGGATCGTGATTCTACCTATGGAAAAGCCTTCAGTGGAGAAGAAGAAAGATGAAGAACCTGCAGCTGAAGAGGAGGAAAAGAAAGATGCGGGAGAATATGAAAAGAGCATTCCAGAAAAGAAGCTGTTTAAATGGGAGAAAAAGAAAGCTCTAGACAGGAAAACAAAACCTGTGGATCCATCTCCCTATGCTCGAGTTCCATACCCTCAGAGGCTGAAACAAGATATCCAGAAACAACAATACACAAAATTTCTGGAGATCTTCAAGAAGTTGCAGGTGAATATTTCCTTTGCAGAAGCTCTGGAAAGCATGTCGAACTATGCAAAATTCATGAAAGACCTTCTATCTAGAAAGCGCAAGTTGAAGGAGGGCGAAATAGTGGCCTTAACCGAGGAATGCAGTGCAATTATTCAGAAGAAACTTCCTCCCAAATTGAAAGATCCAGGCAGCTTTAGCATTTCTATAGAAATTGGGAATATTGAAGTAGGAAAGGCACTATGTGATCTGGGAGCGAGTATAAATTTGATGACGCTCTCCATATGTAAAGCTCTTGGAATCAAAAGGCTGAAACCAACTACAGTTCCTCTTCAATTAACTGACAGATCGATCAGACGACCAGACGGGGTTATTGAGGATGTTTTGGTAAAAATTGACAAATTTATTTTTCCTGCAGATTTTGTAATCCTGAACATGGAAGAAGATGCTGAAATCCCTCTACTGTTTGGGAGGCCCTTCCTAGCTACTGCAAGAGCAACGATCAATGTGAAGCAAAGGAAGCTGATGTTGAGGATGAATGAAAAGACAGTCACCATTGATGTCTTTGAGTTTATGAAGCATCCATATGATGGATGAGACTATTTCATGGTTGACATTATTCAAGATGCAGTTGATGACACAATGAAAGAGGAGAATTCCCCACTTGAGTTAGAGCAAATCAATGAAGAAGCAGACTTTGTTGATAAAGAAAAAGAACCAGTGGTGGAAGAATTAAAGAAAAAGAGAGACGACATCCCTCTTGGAGCACCAAAGGTGGAGATTAAGGAGTTTCCTCCAAATCTGAAATATGCTTTCCTTGGTGACAACAACACTTATCCAGTCATCATCAATATTGAGTTGACAACCATGGAAGAAGAAAAGCTTCTCAAGGTGTTAAAGAAACACAAGGCTGCTATAGGATGGTCCTTCTCCGACTTAAAAGGTATAAATCCTTCCTTTTATACTCATAAAATTTTATGGAAGATGATACTAAACCTGTTAGGTAGCCACAAAGAAGACTCAATCCAACCATGAAGGAGGTTGTGAGAAAAGAGGTAGTAAAAATATTAGATGCAAGAATGATCTATCCTATATCTGATAGTGTGTGGGTAAGTCCAGTACAAACTGTACCCAAGAAAGGTGGAGTCATAGTGGTATGAAACGAAAATAATGAGTTGATTCCAACAAGGACAGTCACCGGATGGAGGATGTGTGCTGATTATAGAAGACTTAATGCAGACACTCGGAAGGATCACTTCCCCATTCCTTTCTTGGACCAGATGTTGGAGAGACTAGCTGGTCATGCTTTCTACTGCTTCCTAGATGGGTACTCGGGTTACAGCCAAATAGCAGTAGCTCCAGAAGATCAAGAGAAGACAACATTCACATGCCCTTACGAAGTTTTTGCTTACCAGAGGATGCCCTTCGGTCTATGCAACGCTCCGGTAACTTTTTAAAGGTGTATGCTCTCTATCTTTTCTGATATGATTGAAAAATATATTGAGATCTTCATGGATAATTTTTCTGTTTTTGGTCCCTCTTTTGACTCTTGTTTAGAAAATCTATCATGTGTTTTACAAAGATGTCAAGAGAGTAGTCTTATTTTAGATTGAGAAAAATGTCACTTCATGGTAAAATATGGCATTGTTCTAGGACATAAAGTGTCTAAGGAAGGTATAGAGGTTGATAAAGCTAAAATATATGTTATCGAGAAACTTTCCCCTCCCTCTAATGTTAAAGGTATTCGAAGTTTTCTTGGTCATGCAGGTTTTTACAGACGCTTTATCAAGGACTTCTCCAAGATAGCAAAGTCACTATGCAAGCTGTTGGTCAAAGATGAAGAATTCAACTTCATGGAAGAGTGTTTGGTTGCATTTAATATTTTGAAAGATAGATTGACCACTGCACCAGATTTTTCCTTACCTTTTGAATTGATGTGTGATGCTAGTGATTATGCCATAGGAGTTGTTTTAGGACAAAGAAAGGATAAACTGTTGCATGTAATTTATTATGCTAGTAAAATTTTAAATGATGAACAATTCAATTATGCCACCACTGAAAAAGAATTACTAGTAGTTGTCTATGCATTTGATAAATTTAGACCATACTTGCTTGGGTCTAAAGTGATTGTTTACACTGATCATGCTGCTTTAAAGTATTTGTTGAATAAGCAGGATGCAAAGCCATGACTGCTCAGATGGATGCTGCTCCTTCAAGAGTTTGAAGTCGAGATCAGAGACAAGAAAGGCGTGGAAAACTTAGTGGCTGATCACCTCTCCAGGATCCAAGAAAAAGATCTTCAAGATGGACCCGAATTGAAGATCCGAGAAGAATTCCCCTATGAGCAAATCTTATCCATCAATGTTATCTTGGATCTGCAATCCGAGAAAGTGTTGAATGTCAACACACCCCCATGGTTTGTGAATTTTGCAAATTTCAAGGCAGCAGGGGAAATTCCAGTAGACTTTACATGGCAACAAAGGAAGAAGTTTATGCACGATGTCAAGAGATATCTTTGGGATGAACCATTCCTTTTCTATATATGTGCTGATGGAGTAATCAGATGGTGCATTCTGGAAGAAGAGATGAAAGACATCTTGTGGCATTGTCATGGTTCAAGCTTCGGTGGACATTTTGTGAGAGAAAGAGCAACCGCAAAGGTATTGATGAATGGCTTCCACTGGCTAACACTCTACAAGGATGCAAGGAAGTTTGTGGAAGCATGTGATAGATGTCAGAGAACAGAGATATATCCAGAAGACATGAAATGCCCCTCAACAACATATTGGAGGTCGAAATCTTCGTTGTGTGGGGAATATACTTCATGGGACCTTTTCCCCCATTTACAAACACATCATGATGCTTGTAATAGCCAAAAATTTCTCATTTTCTTCTCTCCCGTGCAAATACAATTCCAAGGTTATATAAATTGACAAACAATTTGTAAATGTAGAAAACAAAAAACAAGATTAAAGAATAGAAAGAAAATAAGATTAAGAACAAAAAATGTTTTTATACCTTTTGTTTTTTCTTCAAGTCATACTTATTACGTAGCCAATCTCCACCATATATTAAAGCTTGGATGATATCTTCAGTCAAGCTAGAACTATAAGCATCAATAACTCTTCCTCCAGAACTAAATATTGATTCTGAGGCTACTGTAGAGATTGATACAGATCTCATGCCTCTCCTAAAGGTAGTATTGGTGGGGATCAAACTTATGTCCTTCCACCACCTACTCAGCTCGCATGCAACAACTGAGTTATCCCAATTAGGTACTACTATGAATAATATTATTTTATTTTATTTAAAATAAATAATATAATATAAGCCGGCCTGTAGGCTTATAGGCCCGGTATGTAAAAAAAAAATCTATGCTCTGCTTCCTAAGTAGACTTTCTTAAAAGCTCCGGCCTGCTCTATTTGCCTATATATAATTGGCCGAGTCTTGCTTGATATAGGCTAGGCCATAGGCCTCTGTAGGCCGGCCCAACCCACTTTCGCTCCTACTCACCCCAACTCACATGTATACCAACTTAATTATATCATTAAAAATGTGTTTAAAATAAAAGATAGTGATAACTCGTGTATCTTAAAATAATCATAAATAATATTTATAAATTTTTTTTTTACTTGCATATGGGCATGGATGACTAAAGATTGGAAGGTTCAAATTCAGCATGTATATAGGGAAGGCAATATGCCCCGACTAACTCTCCAACTATCCGTGGATATCGATTTTATCATTTTTTCCGACATGGGGTTAGGCACCCTTTTTTAGCTGATTGTAGTTTTGTTAGTTTCCTTCGTTGATTGCTACTTTTGTTTGGGTTTTTCCCTTTAGTTCACCAAAAAATAAATAAAAATAAATTAATCGATTATATTCACTACTATTTATAACTATTTCTTTTCTTCAAGTTAAAAATAAAGAAAAATAATAATTTTGGCAACTTGACACACCTCAAATTTCCATAATTACTTAGGCTATTGATTTATTTTTAATTTTTAATTTTTAATTTTCATTATTTCTTTTAATATTTTGTAATTATAAATTTAAAATTATACAAGATCGTTTAATCATATTTTTGATAAGCTTGATTATTGTAATACTTTTAAAAAAATTAACTTTTTAATAATATATCAATATGTCCTTAAATGTTATTTAAAATGTATTGGATTTAAAATTATTTTTAATTACAGTATATTAAAGTACACTTTTATAAATCATCAAATATTATTCTTTTTAAATTATTAAATTTTAAATGATGATTTAAAATTTTTTAAATAAAAATTAAACTACCCAATGCAACATAATAATAATAATTTTTTTTTCAAAAAATGACAAATAATAGTAATAGATTATTAAGTGGTTGTTTGGGAGGTCTTTTTTTTAGCTTTTCTTCTTCTTATAAGCAAAAGTTAGGTCAAACGTTTTTATAAAAAAATTTGTTATAAAAATAATTTTTTAATAATGAAGAAAAAAACTAAAAGCTCCGAAGATGAGCTTTTTTTATGATGCATGTCAGCTTTTTCTGCCTCCTTGTTTATTTTAACGTTTATCCTTATTCTAAACTTGTATTTGTAAATTTTATTATTACCTTTATAATTCATTCTAATAAAAAATTATTTTATCTTCCCTCATTCAAAACTGGGAAATAATTTTCTTATGTTGTAGAAAAATAGTTATCTTATGTTGTAGAAACAAGATTACAAGTAGAACCCATAAGTAAGAGGAGAAAAAAAAAGAAGTGGGACCCACTCATCTTTTGTGTGTATAGAAAATTTAGTTATCTCATACAAAATGAGATAAATATAACCCTTCAACACTATCAGAACAATTTTTTATAATCACTAAATAATTTTTAACTTTATTTTTTAAGCTCTTTTTTTTGAACTTTAGTTTAAAAGTAGCTCTTTTAACTTAAAAAAGAGAGAGGTGTCAAACAAGCTAATATCCATCGAAAATATTATAAATGTTAAAATAATTATAAATATATTTTTTATATCGATCAACTAATCGATTATTTGATTATTCCAGTTTAAGTTCCATCGGATCGTAGATGATTAATGCTCAATCCAAATTCACTCTGATGACACCAGTCCTCAATCCAAGATGATTAATGCTTACCCCCATGCATATGCTAACTTCCACATTTACCTCCACATCCGACCCCCAAATACAAACCCCATGATCCTAGGAACGTAAGTCTGGGAAGCGGAGAGATGCAAAATAAAGAACATGAGACAATGCTCAGTACTGAGGAAAGATATGCAGGTAGAGAATGAGCCTCAACCCCATGGGATTGCCCAATGATCAGTCTCATCTGGAATTGCAGGGTGCGACTAAAAAAGGTTTAGCCTGAACCCTTGAAACATTCATAAAGAAGCACAAGATTATGCTTGTGGCTAGGGGTGAAAGTGGGCCGGTCCAGCCTACAGAGGCCTACGACCTGTCCTATATCAGGCCAGGCTCGGCTAAGTATATATAGGCAAATAGAACATGTCCGAGCTTTTAGAAAAGCTTATCTAGGAAGCAGGTCATAGGCTTTTTTTTACATGCCGGCCTATAAGCCTACAGGATGGCCTATATCATATTA